GTCTTGAAGATCGCTTCCATATCGCCGGAGCTGATGGATTCCACCTTCGGCACAATCTGATGGCGGGTGCCGCAGGGAGCGCCTTGGCCTTGGCATTCGGCTTCGCTGGAGCTGCCTTCGCTTCGGATTTGGCTTTAGCCTTTGCCTTTGGTTCCGGAGCTGGGGTAGCTGCTGCCTCATGCTTGAAAGGACAATTCTCTCTTGAACACGAGCCTGTGTTCTTGAACGAGTAGCATATCCTGTTTCCTCCTCCTCCAGATGGACTTGGAGTTCTCGTCCTCGGCGTAAAAGGGTCGCTCTGGAGTCTTCTTCGAGTGACTGAATGGGCACTTGTCACCATTTCGACACCCTGCATCTGTGAAATGGAACTTGCAGCGGATTTGCTTCTTGCTCTTGTCACCTCTGTTGTCCGCTGACTCACTCCTCGTCTTCTTCTTGGGTTTTGGCTTGGTTTTCGCATGACTCTTCGCTTTGCTTTGAGGTAGTACAGGTGTTGCTTTATCCGGCTTGGTCGGCGAAGCCTTGACCTTTGCGGATGGAGCTGCGTTAGGCGTTGGTTTCTCAGGTACCTTGGCCGGTGCAGCAAGCAAATCCTTGCCCTCAAGCATCTGGCGCAAGCCAATTTGGGTCTGAGTGAGATTTGATTGTTCTCGTCTCCGCATGATGGTACGGTCAATGATCTTCATCAAATTGTCGTACGATCGGTCTTCATGATTGTAGGGCAAGTGTTCGTAGTGCATGCCCAACTCCATCTTCATTGCGGGCGAGTCCTTGATCTTGCTGTACAAGCAATCACGGAGAGCTGTTTTGGATGGTATGTCTTCTGGCCTCATCCGTCCCAGAACTTCCAACCACGTCTGCTTGAACGTATGAAGCTTGTTGTCGCCTTGGTACTGGAGCTTCACCAGATACTCGAGAGTGATGATCATGTCGAGACGATCATGCGTTCGAAAGCTTTCATACATCATCGCAATGATTTGTCGTCCTTTGATGATCTTCCCTTCGGGCCTGCTGATGTAATCGTTGGCCTTCCGGTTCACCTCCAGGTACAGGTCAGCAGATTTGTCACCACCAGCACGTAGCATTGCGACCATTGCGATCCCCAATTTGACGTCTACGCTCTTAAACTTCTTGTGTCCTGAATCGTTCAGTGCTTCGACATCAGGGAATGGGTTGAATGCTGGTGCCAGCCATAACATCCAGTCCTCATGATTTGGATCGGCTGATGCTCCTAAGACATTCGCCGTGCATACGGATCGCCAGTTGTTGAGGTGAGTGAGAGTAGGCCATGGAGGTACGGTCACTTTGTCGGCCTCCCTCCTGGAAATTCTCACTTCCGTGACTTCAGGATCTGCGTCTCCATCAGGATCACGCGCATGAGATCCAGGATCCGATTCAGGTTTGCCTCCACCGCTTTTCTTCTTATCATCATCATCATCAGGCGGGTCAGGAGGGTCATACCCCGTGCCGGTTCCTTCATCGTGCTCTCCATCTTCGTTCTCGTCGCCAGCCTCGTCACCGTCATCGTCTCCATTATCCTCCTGAATCGTTTCAGCGAATAATCTCCACTCATCACGATCAGCTCTGAGACGTTGTTCGGCTTTCTGGGCCTTGAGTACTTCGCTTCGCAGATCGGCAATCTTCTCCTCGTACCGTTCCGCGACCTCTTTCTCGATCTGACGTCTCCTTGCTTCATGAATGGAATCGTCATAGGCAATAGGGGGACCGATGAGGTCGTTGCCCTTCGTAGATGCGGTGATACCGTCGACACCAACAGGTCTTGAGGAGCTGGCAGATGCTGTGGACTTCGATCCCAACATCCCGCGATCCTCCAAGAGTTCGCGTAGCTGTCGATCACGCACGGCTGCCGCATCACTTTTCCCATGAAATCCGCTTGGTATGCCGAACAAAGTGGCTGCACTAGGCGTGGAACGCGCAAGTGCTGGGCTGCTAATACCTGGCACGTAGTGCTCGGGCATTGCATCCGCCACGATTGGCATTGAATTGCGGCCAGTGAAGAAGTTTCCACCGGTGAATGGAATTCCATCCATCACAAGGTTCTTGTCCTTGTCCGATTCCGAGAATGCGAACTTCTCTTTGGCGACTGGACTAACTTGACTCGGGGACCGTATTTCAGGGGATCGTACCTCACCTCCTACGGAAAATGCAGGCACTACTTCCTTTCCTACGTGCTCCCAGCCAGACTCAGTAGTCCTCGAAGACATGGGCATGCTTGAAGGCCGTGTCGCTCCTCCATAGTTGGAGTTCCGCGCTGCCTCCAATTCGCTGCGTGTCCTCGCTTGAAGATCTTCTTGTGCTTTGAGCGTTTTCCTGAGTTCACTCAGCTCGTCGTGCAAGGTAGGCAATGATCGCCTTGCATGATCTTCATTCTGATGAAGACGGTCCTCTGCATCTTGCATCCTCTTCACAGCCATTTTGCGGTACTCTTCTTCTTCGCCAAGACGTTCGCGAAGCCGAAATCGTTCTTGATCAATGGCTGCGCTGTTTCCAGCTAGCCCTTGGATCTCGTTCACGGCCCGCAACTCCTGGTTCTTGACCAAGTGGAATCGTTCCTGCATTGCTTGTAAGGCTTGTTCCGAACTTGCTGTGTTTGACCGGAGGACCAAGTTCTCTCTGGCATGTTCATGAAGTTCATGAGTCAGACGCTCATACTCACGTGCCATAAGCTCACCATCGCCTTGCGCTCTTGCCTCCAACTGCACAAAGTTAGTGGCTGCCTCCGTGCGGAACACGTGTAGCTGTTGAGCTAACTCCTCGGCAACGGCATGTGCTTGACGTTGTTGAGCAGAGTTCTGTTCATCCATGCGAAACAAAGCTGTTTCATAGTCTCGCTTCATCTCCTGATTGACATTGTTGATGTGCCTCATGGCTAAGCATGCATGGTCACGTTGTCGTTCCAATTCTTCAATGCGAATTCCAGATCCTTCATCTTCTTGCTGCATCTCCTTGATCTTGTCCATCAGGGTCTGAACAACTCCTTCGTACTCTTGCATCTGACTGCGATAGTACATCTGCTGCGCAAGGTTAGATGCTTCGAGCTGTTGCGAGATCGTCAGTTCCTGATAGGCATTCGGACCATCGGCTATGGCTGGCGTGGTCACCGATGACGCATCACCACGTGCTGGGATAGTGTCCAGAGTCATATCCAGATCGTCAGCATCACGTGGTTGATTGGTAACCATCCGATTCCAAGTCATGGATTTGTCACGCCCACGAGTAGCCGAAGTCCTCGATCGTGCCGAAGAGCTTCTCGAAGATGATGGTCTTGATTTCTTTTCCAAGGTCTTCACTCCTTTGTCCTTGGCCCTGGACGTAGTCCGAGGTGCCTGAAAACCAGACGCTTCGGCTCGTCGTTCGGGAGCCTTGCCCGTCCTCGAACCTGTGGATGTCGGACGCGAAGGCGTAGATGCTCTTGGTAGACTCTTTGCTTTCACCTTGGGAACTGCCTTTGCAATGGCAAGCGCAGAAGATTGACCTTTGTCATCTTCCGTGGAGCTATCAACGGATTGCACCACTGTGTCATCAGCTGTTGACTCACCAACGGCTGGCGCTGCCACATCGGCACCGAAAGTCATTGTCGTATCTTGGCTTGATCCCGAGTTCATTGTGGTCGTAGTAGATCAAGTAGTCGTTGCTGTAGAAAGGCAGAGCCGCGTACGGCTGATAACCTGCGTGGGGGATTGATCTCGACTAGGTTGCTGCTCTCCCCACCAGAGCTGTAATGAATGTAGGTGTGGCTGGCTTGCACTCTCCACAGACTGGACCCTGTCTCTCTTACACTTCCACACGTGCAATCCTATGCAGGCAGAACCGGCGGCCGTTCCTTTTGCACTCACTGCCGGCGGCGGTTCGTCTGTGCAACGGGATAGCTCTGATTGCTCAGGATAGAAGACACTTATAGCACTTAGCTATGGGCATTGACTTGAGCCAAACGTTGCGTGGGCGGTCACATAGAAAGGTAAAGATGAGGGACGCGTAGCGTGCCCCCTTAGAGTCGAGGGACGCGTAGCGTGCCCCCTTCTCTTGCACTTTACACGGTCTTGTTCACAGCTCTTATAGTGACACCTTAGAACTTGACAAGGCATCGCAGTCCGTTCGCAAAAAATATGATGATATGCGCACAACCTAACGTAACACTGAAAAGCGACTACCCAAACAGAAGAAAACCCAAACACACAGCCTAAACCGCGATGACGCCCCACTCTGTCCCCGTGTACCCTGTGATGCCAAGGTTCTTCGCCACCCCAGGCCACGACCTGGTCCCAGATGTGTTTTCTTTGAGGCCAAGCTCCATGCAATATAGGGGCTTTAAGAAATCGAATGGTTGTTTCCACCGTATTTTTAGTCGGGAAACCTAGAGTTTCACAGTAGTAACTATTGAGGTCGCATATCTTGGAGGAGCGGTGAAACCAAAGTGCTAAACTCCGTAAGTCCAACGCCCCACATACTCTTAACGTTGGCCGTCGCGTTCGCAGGCCAAGTACAGGTTGAAGCTTGCAGCTCCCCGTACCTTCGCGGAAGAGCCAGCGCGGACAAAAGCATAGCCATAGTTACTGTAGCAGTTCTATGCAGGTAATATAGCGGCGTGAATAGTTAGAATAGGGTTCTGGGGCCCATTGTACTATGATGATGCTAAGGAACCGCCACAATAGTATTAGCAGTTATTTCGGCCCCTTTGGCATTTTTCAATCTGGTCTAGTAATGTCTGCCCACGATTACCGTCAGTTTTACAAAGCCAGCAACTACGCCTAAGGGTCCATGTACTCATATAGTATATACATTGGCCTTAATGTATTGACTATATAAGGACTTTGGGCCCATGTATCTCTATATGGGCACATGGAATTTTAGGGTACTTCAATCAGTTGGATAAACCAGCCACCGAATATGGTAGTAACGAAAAAGCCCCTCCCCACCGCTTAAAAAACAAAAACTAACCAGGACTCCTCAAATAACCAACATAAATGCGAGCAAGTGGCGGTTCCGTCCTCAAGGATTGCCGCAAAGGCTTCCTGAAATCGACTGTTTTGTTTTTAATCTAGGGGCCTTAATATATACATATATATATAGAATACTGTTTTGGGAGGGAGTAACTATACTTTTAAGAAGGAACCCCCCCCCAAAAAAAATAGTATAGGTAATTACTAAGGCCCCGGCAGCAGTCTCGGGGATCCAGTCTTATGGTTCCACTTTTTCGGCTCAGGGCTCGAGTTTGAAGGTCTGAGGCTAGGTACGGGCCCCATACAGTAAGAGTCTATTATAGGGCTACTATTAAGGTCCTACTATATCTATATTATGAATATTAGCCATTATTACTGAGTGGCGGCCGTACCCAAGTCTGAGGTTTCAGTTTAAGGATTCGGGTGTTAGCCTGCAAGGGTTCCTTTTAAGGCTCTACGATTTTAGGGTTGCGCTGCACCCCCCAACTTGAAAGATTCGTTTTAGAGGTCGACAGGCTTCTCGAAGGTTTGGGGGTTTAGGGTTTAGAATGATAGAACTTTAGGGTTTAGCTTTCATGTTGAAGGAAGGTTCCTGTTTCAACAAAGTTTCAGGGTTCTCCAAACATGGAGGTCCATGGGCCACCAGCAGGGTGCGCCACCCTCGTGGTAAGAACCCCTTGTAATACCCTAAACCCTTTACCCCAAACCCTAAACCCTGAACCCTTAGGGTTTACCTATAGTCTCCATTGTAGTTCCCTTTTGGGGTTACCTTATAGGATCCTGATTATATATTTGGCTAAACCAAAAAAAGCAACTACGATGGAGACTATAGGTAGGGTTTAGGCATCATTTCTAGTATCACTTCAATTTTCGCCCGCTGAAAACACGCCAGGTGTCACTCGTCGACGAGATGCTTCGTACCTTTTGGAGCTGGTCCTGCAGGCCACCAGCTCCGAACAAAAACAAATATGTACTCATATATATATATATACACAGTAGGTTCATATGAATTTATAGCATATTTCTATAGGTTTACAGGGTTTACGAAACTGATCTATAGCTTATTTACAGACTTCTGGGGTTTAAGAAAGCAGATAGCCTACAGATGTATAGGGGTTTGTAGATAGTCTACCAGGGTTTTCGATGGGTTAATGAAGATTTTACTGGATTGCTTGACGGTTTATCAAGTTTGCTTATGGGGGTCTTCCAAAGAGCATAGACAGTTTTTATGGACGATAAGCAAATATTATACCTAGTAATCCAGACATTGCCTTGGGAAGCACTTTTTGGTGAGAAAAAACCCGACAACTAAAATTCAACACACCTTACAAGTCCTCATAAACCTGTGAGCCCTTATCCTAGCATTGAAACGACACCAAGAACTAAAATCCAACTTGCGGCGACAGTCCTTGACTGCACTGCTATCGCCACCGTAGTCGAAGTCTCCCCAAGTGACCACCTGCCGTCTTGAAAAAAGGTTTAGGGCTATGCTGTTGGAATTTTTAAGTTTGGCTAAGGCTTTGGATTTACAGCTGAGGGGCTCGGGTCCCAAACCCTGTATCCCAAAACCTTGCATAGACCCCAAAGCCCTAACCCTGAAACCCTGTACCCTTCATCCGACCACCTGAACTGAACTACAAAAGCGTGGCGGGAGCACCGAGCCGTCTTTGCGTATTGCTGCAAAGGCGTAGTCGGTGGATGCAATCTGTACCACGTCAGTCCTCTGGGTGTAGGACGTATGGTTTTGGATTTAACGCCCTATGTGTATAGTTTACTGGATTCTGAAGGCTTTTTCGGGTGTAGCATAAAATTTTGAACATGTATATATATATATATATATATATGTATGGTTTCGGATTCAGGGTTTTTTGGTTGGGAGTTTTGCGGCTTCGGCCAGGTTTCGGGAATCTTCTCGAATTTGCGCGTCCAAATGTGAGCTTGCTGGGTGCTTGGATTGCGAAATACAAAATCTTTAAATCCATGGTTCCGAGCAACATGTCAAAATACCGGAACAGAACCAACTATTGCAAAACACATTCTGTTTAACATCGACGGTTCTCGAAAATCCGACGGTTTCCAAAATGAGGCACCTGCCCAGCGTGATGATTTGCATCCCAAGCCAGACAGGAGCAAAACACAAGCGAAACAAAACACAAGCGAAACAAAAATCGATGCTACAGCTTGCAAAGATGAGCGCAGCTAAATGAAATGAGTGAAACAGAAAACTTCCCTCGTCTTCTTGTTTTTGTTGCAGTTTTGCGTGTCCAGTTCTGAACTCGCAACCAAACGCTCTACATTCTGAACCTTTTAATTACGGCAACGACGCCTTCCAAATTTGGATCCACTACGCAGCTTGAGTTATTCATGATCGCCTAACTACTGGGTATTGTAGCTTGCTTGGCATCCTTTCGTTACTATTGCAACGAGCCTCATAGATAACGAATGTCATAGTCAAGAGAACGCATGTATGTACATGTGCATGTACGTACATAGGTAGTAGGTAAGTAGGTAGCTAGCTAGCGACCTAGAATTCCACGAGTGCTGCAGCTAGTAACGCCTAAATAAGTACCCCAAACTTGAACTGCCTAATACAGCCTAGAACCCTATTCTAACCCTAAACACTAACACTAAACACTAAAAAACTAAACCCTAAACCCAAAACCCAATTATTAGGGCTCCTACACTTCGCGCCCAATCTGTTGCTAGAGGACCAGAAAAATCCGTAGGAATGCACTCCGCAGAGAAGCTGCACCATGGTCACAAGAGCCTGAAGTCTCTTGACGGCTTTGCAGCCAAACAAATATGGATGGATACATACGGATATGGATACGGATATGGAAAAGGATATGGATGTACAGGTGCCTGCATGCATGCATGCCTGCATGCATGCATGCATGTGTATGTCGATGTGCTTATGTACATGCAAAGGTATGCAGATATTTATCTTTATCTAGGCCCTGGGAACTCAGTGCCGGCCGGAATCAGCTGGCTTCTGACATCCAAGTTGTCACTGCCGTACCTCCAAGTTCTGTGTTCAGGGTTCGGGAATCCCTGCAGGTATAGGGTTAGTAAGGCAAGGCAACCCCTCCTTCCAGGCTGTGGCCTGGTTACTAGTGTGCTCCTTGATCCTTATTTCACCCTACTGCAAGCTGAAAATTCATGAAACCGCAGGGCTCCGGGTAGCTTAACCCGAACAATAACCAAATCTGGTAAATCCCGATAGTTTAGGGGGCATATTATAGCGACATGCAGGGTTTTGTCATCAGCAGTGTGTGCATTTAGCAAGTATATAAGGATCGCCTGTGCCTCGCAAGAGGATGGGCGAGTCTCGTAACTTTGGGAGTCTCGGGGAACGACAACATGTGGTTTGGGTTTCATAGTATGATATACTTGTGTGTATATATATATATATATATATATGTACATATTACATGCAATAAGTATATATATATATATATATGTATATATATATATATATACATATATCTTCTGATTCTGCTTATGGCCCCCACAGTAGGGGAAGAGGAATTATGGAATGGTAAGGTTGAGGGTTAGGGCTTGTTCTTTTAACTCTGTTGCAATGTCTTGAGATGTCTTGAGCATAGAAACGCAAGGCTGAACAGCAGGCACTAACTCAAAGGAACTACAAGCATGGCTTACTCAGGCAGGTCGTAGACCCGCGAAGGTTCAAAAGCTACACACATCCTCCTAAACCCTAAACCCTCTCCGAGACCTACGGTCCTGAATCCTAAAACCCTAAACATCATTCCCATGCACGCAAAAGCGCAACCTACACAAAATAGTAGACTACGCCCCAGAACGGTTCTAACCTCCTAAAATAGTCGGGAACCCTATAGATCCCCTTAGCGGAGCCCTTAAGGGAAACCTTGTAGATCCCTTCAAAGGAGCCCTTAAAATATCCCACAATGGCGAGCCACTCGGGATCGCCCCAAGAGAGCACCTAGGAGCAGTTTCGGGGTTTAAAATCATTGGGAGTTTCCGAAAATTAGGGGTTTCGGAGTTTCCGAAAATTAGGGGTACCATATTTGGGGGTCCTTATAATAAGGATCCTACTATTTAAATTACTGTAGTAAGGTCCCCTATTTTCGGAAACCCCCCATTTGGGTTGGGCTTAGGGCTTATGACTTGTTGGTGTAGAAACTTAAAGCTGCCATTATAGTAAACCTTGCAGGACCCTTTAAACAAATCTTTACAGGAACCCTTCAGAGACCCCGTATACAATGCTTAGGGTTTAGGGCTGACATCAATGCCGCCGCCGGAAGTCATAGGGTTTAGGGAAGCTCGACCTTGACGGTGGGATTCAGAATAAGAGCTTGTAAGTGCTTACCCCAATGGCAGTCCGGGGCCTCTGTAGCCGCTATTAAGGTTCGGGGTAACCCCAGTCAGATAGTAAGCTGTGGAATGCCCGCACTATGTGAGGGTGGGTCATCCCGCGCACCTAACCTGACAGCCCTTCTGCCTAAAGGAACCCCTTATGCTATAGGGGCCTTCATAATTTGAACAGGGTTTGGGGGCTCATTATGCTATGAATAAAGAGACCCCCAAAATAGTAAGGCCCCTAGATTGCAAGGGTTCCTAATCAACAACGAAATGAAACTGTCTAACCATACATCCTAGCAATACTGCGAATTATCCTGCTGAAAGGCTCTCTAGACTCTAGACTTTGGAAAGAGAGACAGAGACAGAGAGAGAGAGAGAGACAGAGAGAGAGAGAGAGACAGAGAGACAGAGAGACAGAGAGACAGAGCGACAGAGAGAGAGAGAGAGAGAGAGCGAGAGAGAGAGAGAGAGAGAGAGAGAGAGAAAGAGAGAGCGACAAAGAGGAGCTGAGCTGAGCTGGGCTGCGCTGACCGGAGTCCTTTATCCCAGCCGGGCTTGAAGTTTCATTGCTTGCCAGGACATCAGCAATCGTTCCAGAGTACGTGCTTCTGTCGCCATGCTCCACAGAAGTGGCCAGTCCAGTTCGCAGGGAGGTTTCGCACCTTATGCGCATGCCTTCTGGATGGCCGTCACTGGAGGCTTGCAAATCTGAAATTTACAGCTTTCTCTTGTTGATGTGATGTAGAGCTGCTAAGCCAAGTCATGGCATCTCGCCCGTGCTCCGACCCCAACCCACCTGAAACCTCCTTTCATCCAAACTCATCACCTACCTGCACGATTAATAAAATGATGGGAATAGCTCATTCTAGAAGAACCATACTATTGTTGATTACTATATAGTCATGTTCGATCCCGTGCAAACAGCTTTGATTACTTTGGACCCTTTTGGTTCCAGACCCTACCAAAAAGGCACCATAAATAAAAGCGACGACAAGTGCTTTATACCAGAAGAAACACTCCTACTTTGAGGGAAAGGCAAACCGAAAACCCCAAACCCAAACGCTAAACCCTAAACCCTAAATCGCAAACCCTAAACCCTAGACCCCAAACCCTAAACCCCAAACTCCAAACCCCAAGCCCCAAACCCTAAACCCCAAACCCTAAACCCCAAACCCTAGACCCCAAACCCTAACCCCCGAACCCTAAACCCTAGACTCCTAGACCCCAAAGCCCTAAAGCTAGAGGCTCGTGGGCTCATTGAGAATCCTAAGGGTCCATGTGCCCATACAGAGATACATGGGCCCCAACCTTAAGGGTCCATGTACCCATATAGAGATACATGGGCCCCAATGTACCTATATAGGGACTACATTATACACTATGTGAGTACATGGGCCCTTAGGGCAAAGTACCTACATAGGGACTACATTAAGGCCAATGCATATTATACTATATGAGTACCTGGAGCCTTATACCCTAAACCCTCATCGAACCCTTATAGATCCCCTAAAGGATCCCTTATGGTACCCTTAAAGGATCCCTTAAGTATATGAGCACATGGACCCTTAGGGAAAGTGGAAGACCTGCCAAGTCGCAGTGCCGTCGCTCAGAAGCGCGGCGAAAGCTCCGTAGGAAGCCTGCCGGGGCAAAGCCCAAAGACGCCGAGATATCGTAGTTTAGGGTTTAGGGTTTAGGGTTTAGGGTTTAGGGTTTAGGGTTTAGGTTTGAGAAAGACTAAGAGATCCTCATAGAATATCCCCAAAAAAAGGATTTAGGGTTTAGGGTTTAGGGTTTAGGGTTTAGGGTTTAGGGTTTAGGGTTAAGGGTTTAGGGTTTAGGGTGAGAAAGACTAAGAGATCCTCATAGAATATCCCCAAAAAAGGATTTAGGGTTTAGGGATCTAGGGGTTTAGGGATTTAGGGGTTTGGGGGTTTGGGGGCTTGGGGGTTTGAGGGTCCGGGGTTTAGGGTTTGGTTTAGGGTTTAGGGGTTGAATATAGGGTTGTAGAATAACGTTTAAAGAACATGGAATGGAACGGTTCCGAAGTCGCCGAACAACAACAGTAAACTGATGTACACTGTACGAACACGTTTGTGCTTGTTTGGGGTGCTATGTTCTTCTTTTTTCTTTGACGGTGTCAGCGTGCACAGGGTGTTACATATGCGTTCGCATACATACGGACGGAGTGAGGCAAATGCAGCTATGCCTGCATGCATACGCGTTTCTTTGCATGCTCTGTGGTCAATCTAAACGGCGAACTCTCGAAAAGGAAAAGGGCTGGCTTACGCTAGCCAGCTTCGGTGCGCCAGATCGGCAGGGGCCGCATTCGACGTGTCCGGGTCTTTGTCCCTTTGCTGCCTCTTTTCAATTCAGTGATGTCCTGTTGCATCAAGTATAGTAGTCCGTCTCTCGTATTCGGGTCCGCCTTTGTCATGTGGTCGTCGACTTTCTGTTTCATCTTTGCAGCTTCGGTTTCGCCGTATTTGGCGATGATTTCGATGCTCCTTTGGGGGGTTTAGGGTTTGGGCTTTAGGGATCTCGGGGGTTTAAGGGTTAGGGTTTGGGGTCTAGGGTTTGGGGTTTAGGGTTTAGGGGTTTAGAGGTTTAGGGTTTGGGGCTTAGGGTTTGGGGTTTCGGGGTTGAATGTAGGGTTGTAGAATAAGGTTCCTTTAAACGGTTATAGGGATGCTCCTTTGGGGGGTTTAGGGTTTAGGGTTTGGGGTTTACGGTTTGGGGGTTTAGGGGTTTGGGGGTCAGGGGTTTAGGGGTTTAGGGGTTTGGGGGTTAGGGGTTTAGGGGTTTAGGGGTGTAGGGGTTTAGGGGTTTGGGGTTTTGGGGTTTAGGGGTTTTGGGATTTAGGGGTTTGGGGGTTGAGCGGTTTAGGGTTTAGGGGTTTTAGGGTTTAGGCGCTTAGGGTTTAGGGTTTAGGTCGCAAGAAAAGCCAAAGGACGTAGAGTCCAGATTCCGATCTGGGGCTTAGGGCCGTGAGGTTTGAAGGACTCTGAGTCTACATTGAGCTTTCGGGGCTTAGGATTTGACAAAGCATAGCAAAATAGGGTTCGAGTTCCAGATCAGAAGTCAATCCCGAGGGGTCCATGTACCCAAATAGTATATACTTTGGCCCCAATGAACCTATATAGGGACTACTTTAAGGCCAATATGGAGCCTTAGGGAATCCAAATTGCCTCAAAGTCTGCGAAGTCTGTGCTGACATGTAAACCGGATTACAAATTCATTGGTACAACTTCGGGACTCTGTGGAATGTTGTGTTACTGCCTTATGTAGCCCCAATAAAACCCAATAAGTACCCGCACGACGTTTCTGGATACTTAAATGGACCTTCTGGGGCGAAATCTGACCCTAAACACTCCAAACTTCGCAATCGACGACCATACAAACCCTACAGCACCACATGGAGCCCTGGTCATGTAGGAACCTGATTAAGAAACCCTGGGTCTGCAACCCCCAAATACAAGGGTTCATATTTCAGGGACCCTAACAAAGGCCCGAGGTTTCTTAATTGGGTTCCTCCGCTTCCTACATTAGAAGGAGTCTTGAAAGCTCGGAGTACAACTTAATGTAGGAACCTGATTAAGAAGCCTTGGGCCTTTATTAGGGTGCCTTATATGAATCCTACTATTTTGGGGTTACAGGCCCAGAGTTTCTTAATCAGGTTCATACGTTACTTCGGCTGCCTTCACCTGCCGCACATCTTGCAGCATTTCCTGACCAGGCCAATGGAAGTTGGGGCCGAGTTAAACAGGGCCACAGATCTTGCGATGGCTAATGATTGGGGGGTTGGGAGCATAAGGCTTAAATTCGGGCTATAGGGTCCTAGGGGTATAGGGTTCTCGGGTTCCGAAACATGCGCCTTTTGTGTAAGCACAGACTTCCACAACGAACAAATGCACTGATTCTGCGTTTGCGGCAATTAAACTCTACGTCCTAAATCGTGATCACAATACGAGCGGTTCTAAACTCCAAACTCCAAATCCCGAGCCCTAAAACCCTAAACCCTAAACCCTGAACTCTATTCCCTAAGCCTAGAACCCCAAAATCCCCAAACTCAATCCCGCGAGCCCTAGGGGCCCGTAGTAATAGAATAGGGTGTTGGGGGTATATTATACTATACACGTAGAAGCCCTAATATATACTTAAAGGATCATGGGACTTAGTATGTAAAGTTATTAAGCCTGAACCTTCAACCCTAACCCTGATGGTCTGAAGGCCCTACCTTTTTCAGGACTTATACTACTATTTGCTTAAGAAACCACCAAAAACAAAAATAATAATCCCTATATTACATCCATAAGGATTTTTTTTATTTGTTGGGGGTTCTTAAGCAAATAGTAGTATATAAGATAATCATAAGAAGGAACCCTAAAAAGGTAGGTTCTTCAGGGTTAAGGTATGCCCTAAAATTTTATTACACCCCAATCCCAAATGAACCAAGAGTCTTTGCCTCTCCATGCACACCCTACCACAGGACTTTAGGGGTCCATTTAGGCATCAACGTCTATAAACAAGAACTACTTGGACCCTAGGGGTTTGCCGTCCCCACAGCCCTCTAAACCCTAAACCCTAAAATCTTTAACCCTAAACTGGGATGGCTTTTAGAGCCCGTTGGAAAATATTAGTGTAAATATATATATATATATATATATATATAGAGGATCCTTATGAACCCTAAAAGGAAAATATCTAAATAACACAAAGGCCTACCCGGTCAACCATAAGAATCTCCGAGTCTTTGTCGTTTCCATGTACTCCTTCTTCCCGGACTTGGCCCTTACCCAGACCCCCCGGGAGGATCCTCTAATTTGGGGGCTTAGTAGGGTTCCTTAAAGGGCTCCTTTAATGAATCTTTTAGGGTTTAGGGTTGAGGGATCTATAAGGAAAGTAGATCCCCTAATTTGGGGCCCTATACTACTAAGGGTACTTTATAGGAAGCCCCATTGAGGGATCTACTTCTTGGATCCTCCCGTGGGTCTCGGTAGTCGCCTTAGTCTTCGCCTTCTCCATGAAGAAGGAACCGCCGTAGCCGTGATGGCCCCAGGACTCGACGGAGCCATCTCCTCGAACCGCCTCAGCAAGCTGCTCTTAAAGGCGCCTGTAACGGAGCCTGTAGGGGCTCCTTTACGGAATCCTTGAAAGGCTCCTTTAAGGGATCCTTTACGGATTCATCTAAGGGGATCCTTTATAAGGGGTCCTTTCAGGGATCGATAAGGGTTCCTCTAAGGGATCCTTAGGGGTTCCTCCAATGGATCTTTAGGGTTCCTTTGCAGAGCCCCCCAAGTATCCTTTAATAGAGGCCTTATGGTGCTTAATGCGGGGTCTAGGCTGCGTACCGTGTTTTATTGGTTTCTCTTTTCATAGGGTTTAAGGATTAGGGATTGAGGGGTTTAGGATTTAGTGTTTAGGGTTGAGGTTGTGAAACATACTTCTGGGGTTTAGGGATACGAGGTTTCGGGTGGAGAGGCTTTGGCTTCAGGGTTGCAGGGTTTGAGATGTAGAGCTTATAGGGTTTAGAGCTTAGAGCTGTGTCTTGTCCTAACGGCCCAAGTTCCGGAACTAGCACGGGGGCAGGTCTCAACCAGGGCTCGCCTCAAACCTGAAACCCCCGGACCTTAATAATTCGAACATGGTCGTGGGGCAAACAATCGTATGATAATAATGAGGCACCCGAAAGAGGCATCTATATTCGAGGTCTCTTTATATTAATGGTACCATTTTTTGCATTATTCGGTTTTGAGCTGCAAAGTGAAACGGTGAAAATCAGAACCACGCGAAGAATAGCCTCAGTCCCGACCACTAGACACAGAGAGGAGCCCCGGAACCCCAAAGGGATTAGGGCTTAGGGTTTAGGGTTTAAGGTTCAGGGTTTAAGGTTTAGGGTTTAAGGTTTGGGGTTTAAGGTGTAGGGTTTAAGGTTTAGGATTTAAGGTTTGGGTTTAAGGTTTAGGGTTCAAGGTTTGGGTTTAAGGTTTAGGGTTTAAGGTCTGCGCCGTCTTAATGCTTCAAAATCAACCGGGCTTGCTTTGCTACACTTCTCGATTTGGGATGTTGATTTACGGGTTAGTGTTTACGGGTCAGGGACCGGAGGAAAGGAAAAAAGGAAATTGCACCTTTTCCTTCGCCCAAAGCACCAGAAACAAATCAGAAAATACACCTTCCCGTGCACTGCGGAAATCCCAAGGCTCCTAGGGCTTATAGGGTTTAGGCTCCATGTCACCTCCAAAATGTAGGATTATAAATCCTTAATCTGGGTTAGAATTATAGACAGATGTAGTTACCCTAACTACAACCCGACTTAAAAACACGCATGAACCTGCAAGTAGGGCCTCGCTATAGTCTCTATGTTTGGATCCTGTCCGGGATCTATACAGGCTTGTGGTGTAAGAAGTCTAGGGCATAAGTTTATTTCTGGTGAACCACTCTTCAGGGCCACCAAACAAGGGACTACGAGGAGACGGGAGGCAAACGGAGGCAGCCCATAACGGTGGTACCTATTAGGGTTTAAGATGCAGGCCGTAGGTTGGTTTGGCATGAACTGCACATGCGACCCTGCAAATTTGGATCTCGTGTCTCGCAGGAAATAGATTCTATCCCAAAGCAGCATTAGAACGCCCACTTTTTCTCCACAATCGCCCTGTGGCGCAGTGGGCTAAGTCCCGTCGTCCGGCTTAGCCAGACAGACGTGAGTCACTGCAGTGCTGTAGCAATCGGTAGGATGCCGGCACTCACAAATCAGCATCTATCAGCGGCTGGTGGGTTCTTATGTGTGATGATGTGCTGGATATGGGAGTTTCCAAAAATCGGGGACCCTAATATGGCACCCTATTGAGTTATAAGGACCCCAAAACAAGGTACCCCGATTTTCGGAAACTCCCATACGGCTCTGTTCTAAAGCCCTTGCAACCTACAGGTTCACGGCTCTCGAACCACGTCCTGTCAACGAACCGCGGGAACCCGAGCACCGTCAGCCTAAACAAAGAGCCGAAGTACAACCATAAAACACAAAATCCTACCAGGACCCTCCTTGTGCCCTCAAATAGGGGTATATGGCCCCAAATAATGGACATGGAGGGTCTAGGTATATGCCCAGATGTTCATTCCATAGACTCCAAGAACCCTGAAAACCATTGATAAATACATAGAACCTTACGCCCAACCGCACTTCTGAATCAGAGAACCTAAACCTCCAAAACCTGCGCTGCTGGACCCTACATAGACGCATACACCCGGAACCCCAACCTGTTTCCGCAAACTCTACAAAAAGAATAGGTTTTGACCCCTTGATTAGAGGGTCTAAGGTCTAACCTCTAAAGCAGTAATTAGGTTTTTGTAGCCCCAGTATTTTCCCTAAACCCTATAGAGCCCTTATCGGAGCCCTTAAAGGAAGCCTTCTAGATATAGACCCCTTATAGGAGCCCTTAAAGGAAACCTTATAGATATAGACCCCTTATAGGAGCCCTTAAAGGAAACCTTAAACCCTAAACCCCTTATAAATCCCTTCAAAGGAACCCGAAAGACCCGAACCCCTCAGGCTGCCCTCAGGCGCCTCAGCTCTCTTTGCTCCTGTCTGAAGCCCTACTACAGCTACTATATATGGGCGCTTATAAACAGAATAGGGTTCCCTTTAAAGGGATCCCCAAAAAATATTGTATAGGGGCCTTAATAATTAGAGTAGGGTTTTGGGGCATTTTATTCTATTAGTATAATAAGGAACCACCAAAATGGTATTGGTAATTACTCAGGCGCCTGTATTACCCTAAGTGTCCGAGTACCGAAGTATCATATACTCCAACAGATACACACTAATCGGTTACAAGAACCCAAGTACATGTTTTTGTTGATATCCTTTGGACCCGCCGGGTTATAAGGGCCTTGCAAACATAGAAAGACCAAAACTCAAGTGAACCCTAAACCGTACACCTTCTTTACCCTAGACATGTACAGTAACCCTTATTGCACATCTTCAAAGGAACCCCTAACACATATGAAAATCCTTTCCTTAACTTGAAGTAACCCTTAAGGCAGCCTTAATAATTAGAACAAGGCGTTGGTGCCCATTACACTATATTTATAACAAGGAATGCCAAAATAGTACAGGTCATTACTAAGGGCCCCTACATTAGGCCACCTGTAACCATGAACCCTAAACGGCCTAATTAGGGTTCCTTTAAAGGGGCCCTATAAGGGTACTACATAATACTATAGGGGCCTTCATAATTAGAATAAGGTTTTAGGGCTCATTATACTCTAGTCACTAGTCATAGTAAGGAGCCCCGGCCCTTAAGACCCCCCTAAACCCTTAACCCTAAACCCTAAATCCTAAACCCTAAACCCTAAATCCTAAATCCTAAACCCTAAACCCTAAACCCTAAGTCCTAAACCCTAAAAAACCCTAAATCCTAAACCCTAAACCCTAAACCCTAAACCCTAAACGGCGCTTAAGAACCCTAGGCCGCCTCGACCGAAAATTCAGGAAAAGGATGCGCCCTGGTCAGCAGAGGTTGCCTCGAACTTGTTTGCATTGAGAAGCTTCAAGTTCAGTTTAGGGTTCAGGGTTCAGGGTTTAGGGGTTTGGGGGTTGAGGGGCTCAGGGGCTTAGGGGTTTGGGGGGTTTGGGGAATTTAGGGTTCCGGAATCTCAGGGTTTCAGGGGTTTAGGGGTTTCACTAAACTACAAGAGCAAAAAAAAGCTTAAAGGTTGTGTATTGGGGATGTAAGAGCTTGAAGCTCAGTGTAGGGACCCATTACGGGTTCCTTTAAGTGTTCCTCTAAGGTCTAGGGCTTTAGGGTTCAGGGGTTTAATGGGTTTGGGAAATTTTTTTGGGGGGGTTCGGGTTAGGGGTTTAAAAGTTTGGGGTTTGGGTGCAGAGGTGTTTGAGGCCACAGGGTTTCTTGGGTTTTGAAGCATGTTATGGGTGCTAGAGGGGGGGGCGACGGTACATACGGTTTTTACAGGTCAGGGCTGTAGAAGGGGGTGTTAAGTTGTTGAAAAGGTGCAGGCTGTGACTTGAGGCAACAACGTGAAGGACGATATCTTCATGCTGCAAAAAACGCTAGGCATAACCATGCTCATCATAATGCGCCACAACCTTCGTCCTAGACATTCATCCGTCTAGTTCTTCGTAGGGACTGGGGGAATGGATTATGAAGACTATCAGTGGGGATTATATAGGGACTACTATAGGGATCCATTCCCCCCATTCCCTACTAAGCACCAGACAGACATTCGCAAACCCGAAAGCCATGGGCTTGTACTGTAGCGAACTCAGATAGTTTCCGAAAGCGTCCAGAGCTTTAAGAGCCGGAAACACGCTCTGCACTAACTCTAAATTCTGCGGATGGGCAAAAGCCTGCAATAATTTGTGCACACTGAACGACAGAACATATGGGATGTGATGATTCAGGCCCCAGTATCACACTGCACAAGTCTCGAACATATTCTGATAGAACCCTCAAAAACCTGTATAGCTCGCTACAGAATTCTAGAAAACCCCTCTAACTCCTTAACTCCCTGCAAAATCCTAGAAAACCATTGTAAGCCACCATGATGGAAACGGTGCAAAACCCTTGCCTGAAACACTAAACCCCAAACCCTACTTGGAGGCTCATGATTAATAATAAGTGGGGCTATAGGTAAGATAACCATATTCATAACCCAAATTAGGGGACTTATAACCCTACTTGGAGGCTCATGGGTAGTTATAAGTGGGGTTCTATGTAGGATAAACTATATTTATAACCCAGATTAGGGGACTTACAACCCTACTTATAACTACCCATGAACCTCCAAGTAAGGTGCTCCTTGTGATAACTATAGCATAATCGGCCCCGAAACCCCCTTCTGATTAGTAAGGCTCCAGTAGTATGGTGGTTGATGAAGAACACCCCACCTGGACCCCAAAGAACCTACCTTTTTGGGGCTCCTTTTTATGACTTCGTTTATGTAAGTCAGTACAACTGTAGGCTATCCGGGTTAAGGCAAAATTTCGTTATGGAAGTCATTAAAGAGGTAGGTTATTCGGGGTTAAGGCAAAATTTCGTTATGGAAGTCATTACAAAGGTAGGTTATTCGGGGTTAAGGCAAAGCCGAATGGAGCCATTATGATTTCGTTATGGAAGTCATTATAAAGGTAGGTTCTTCGGGGTTACGGCAAACCCCGAGGGAGCCAAGTAGCAAGTTCCTCCAGGAAGTTTGGTCTTCTTTCATGCTGATGCGCCAGTCCCGGACCAAGCCTTGCTCCGAAGGTAAGGTCACGGTTTAGGGTTTAGGGTTTAGGGGCTTAGGGTTTAGGGGGTTTGGGGGTTTGGGGTTTAGGGGATAGGGGTTTAGGGTTTACGGGTTCGGGGTTTAGGGTTTAGGGCCCCAAAAAAGCACATAAGCAAAACAAAGGGATAGGGATATCCCATATTATGGACCCCCTTATCATGAAGCCCAATATGGTAGGGATATCCCTATAGAATGCTATGCTCATGTGCTTTTGGGGGTCCCTACGTTTAGAGTTGAGGGTTTAGAGTTTAAGGGGTAACCCTAGTACCCAAACAGGGATCCCCGTAGGGTTCCTTTAAGGGTTCCTTTCAGGGTACGATCAGGGTTTTGGGGTTTGGGGCCCCTAGGAGCGGATACCACCTAAACCCTAGAATTCTAGAACTCTTAGCGTCCATGTACCCAAATAGAATATACTTTGGCCTTAAAGCACTCCCTATATAGGTACATTGGGACCAAAGTGTCCACTATTTGGGCACATGGACGCTTGGGGGAATTCCTCTGCGGCGAGAGGCGGGCAATCGCCGCACTGAGCTCGAGGTCGGCGACGCGACCTCCCGGCGAAAACTGCGGGGTTAAAGGGCTTTAGGGGTTTTTGAAGGGTTTGTTTAAGGGTTACTTAGGGTTTAGGGGCATAGGGATGCTTAGGGTTTATAAGGTTAAGGTTTAGGGCCGGTTGGTGTGATGCGCTTGGGGTTGTTTGTGAAGGTAATTAGGGTCTGTGGCCTCAATGGTTTGAAAGACGTTCCCCCCCACCCCGAGCGTGGACTGCATGCGTGCACGCAAAAACAGAAGTGGGAAACAGGCCGGGGTGGGGGGGGGAGTGGGGGGGGGCCGGGGCGGGCGGCGTTAAGCTCATGTAAACCTGCACCACCAACCACAACGGCGTTAGGCTAGAATTCCAGTGCATACAGATTTGGATATAAATCGTGACAACATGATACATGCCAAAGCTGCGACAGTTCGTGCTGATCCCAACAACGCTTGAAGCCCACACAATGCACACTTTGTTCTTCGAGGGTCTTTCCTTGCTAACCCTACCTTAACCCCAAATAACCTACCTTTTGAAGGACTGATATTGTATAAAGAAATCATGACAAGGAACTCTAGAAAGGGTAGGTTCTTTGGTCCAGGCCTTAACCCCGAATAACCTACCTATTGAAGGACTGATATTATATAAAGAAATCATGACAAGGAACCCCAAAAATTGTTTGTTCTTTGGGGTCAAAGTAATCCCTAAGCTTCCACAAACGGGCCTCCCAGGCACATGCGGGCCCCAAAGGAGAAAGGTGTGGCTAGCAGCTTGTCATCGATCACCTGGGAGGCTCTACGACTCAACCTTGCTTCGAGGATCATGGGACTTAGTAATTAGGTTATAACTGGGGTTATAAGTCCCCTAAGTGGGGTTATCATAATTATAACCTACTTATAACCTTACTTACTAAGTCCCATGAGCCTTCAAGTGGGTTCTTGTTAAGGAGTTGGACTTAAGCTAAGCTACCATAATTCAGGGCTCCTTTAGGGGATCTATAGGGGTTCAATACAGGATTTAGGGCATTTAGGGGTCAAGGGATTCAGTCTAAGTTGCTCCCAAATAAGGAAACCATATTATTTACTATAGATCCTTATTATGGTAACTTGGAGTAAACTCCTTAACAAGAACCCAAAATGTTGAGGGTGCGTCTAGGGTGTCGGCTTTGTATGATGTGTCCGTAACGGCTATGGCGGTTTGGTCTCAATACTTTCGTTCGCGGACTGTTGCAAGATGCCCATAGGCCCCAAAGTAGTTCCATTTGGGGATTACCTAACAGGATTCTATATATGAACCCCAAAAAGGAACGACTTTAGGGCCTTAGGATGCAGGGTCTGGGGACTTGGGTTCTGGGTCGGAGAAGACCTGACTGAGGCTTACTTGGGTTTAGGGTTTAGGGTTTAGGGTTGGGGGTTTGGTGTCCTGGGTTTTGGGTCGTGGGTTTAGGGGTTTAGGGTATAAGGCTCGAGGCTTCGGATAGTCCAGATCTCACTCTAGACACATATTCACCAACAAGGTATACGATGGTACACGGCTTGTTCATGTCAAGGTAGGAACCCTCAGGCGTGCTGCAAACTTTGTGGAGAAAACCAACAACTGCAGATCGCAGAAAAGAGCCCCAAACCGTGGCAAAATGATGGTCTGGGAGATGGGACAAAGCCGTGCAGAATGAGCGAACAGTTCAGGGAGCACCTTGCATCCTAAACCCCCACCCACGGGAAACTATGCTATCCCGAAAGCCTTGTGACATCTTAAATCTTGGACTCCATCTGCGAGGGCGTTCAATCATCTAAGTCATAGCAACTCTAGTTGTTAAGGCCATGTTGTGACCATGCTGAATCTGCAGAAGCTGGCCAGAAGCGAAGGCTCGGATCCCGAATGGTCTCCCAGCCCTCCCGATCGTGATCCCTAGCCTAAACTCCATATGAGCCCCATAACCCATAGACTCATGAAAAAAGCCCTTAACCTGCAAATCCCTAAACCCTAAACTCCATACAGCCTAAACCCCATAAACCCCAGACCCCTATACCTGGAAAGCCTTAAACCCTAATTATAGAAATCTTGTAGGAACCATGATAGGAACCCTGATAGTATCTTAATGTAGAAACCTGATAAAGAAACCCAGGGCCTATAAACACCAAAATAGTAAGATTCATATAAAGAACCCTAATTTAGGCCCAAGGTTTCTGAATCAGGTTCCAACAACAAAAACTCTAAACTCCTAAACCCTACAATAAAGTACATTACAATGACTCCCCAAACCTTATAGGAACCATGATAGGGACCCTTATAAAACCCTAAACAAGGCAAGCGATCGACCCCCTCCCCCCACCTCGGCTTCGGTTCCTTTGCGAGCCTCGACGGCATCTGGCAGCCATCGCTCCGGCTTGAACTGCGAAGGATCCTCCCCATGGACAAACAGGGCTCTAGCTTGGTCTGAATACAGTAGAAGCCAGAAAGTTGGAATATCATTATCGTAACCCCTTTAAGGTAAATTATAGGGGATCCTACCATTAATCCATATTCCAACTTTCTGGAGTTCCCTTTATGTATATACCTGTATATAGATAAACACTTCGAAAGCTGTCTTATCTCCGTAGCTACTCCTTAGCTTTTGGGGGATGATAGTTTTAATGGTAGCTGGTAGTATGAAGCCCTCTATAGATTGAAGTAAACCCTGCTGCAGCCCAAACCCTAACCCTAATTGGAAATCCGCTGTACTGCTACAAGCATCACTACGCTCGTCTAGGTCTCGGTAACGTTCGAAGTACGTCAGTCGGGGTCATTACGCAGACGTAGTGTTTTGCGGCCCTACCAACTATTTCAGTGTCATGATCCTTGAGAAAATGCAAGTTCCAAGCATTAATCCCTGCCTCTGACACCCCCATCCTGCACCAGAGACATAACAGATGCGTAATACGTAGCGGAGAACCATACCAGGGCCCCACCCGGTACCCCTTAATAGAATCCTTGTGGTCCTGAATAGTGGGTATTTGGGGACTGGACGCGGGTAGCTGGGGGCTCTAGGTAAGCCCAAAAACCTGAACCACTACAATCCTGCCCTAAGAGTCTATGTGCCCCAAAAGTATATACATTGGCCTCAATGCAGTCCCTATGTTGGTACTTTGGCGCCAAAGTATATACTATTTGGGTACATGGACCCTTCGGGCTGTAAAGGGGCAGCAAAGTGGGACAGCAAATAGGTCTCCTCGACGTACTTCGGATCGTTCTGCAAGGAGTAAACGTTGAAGCCAACTTGGGTCCCTGTGGCGGCGGGACTTCGGTTGTTGCGCTCAGGGTCCAAAGGATCCAATGATAAGGAGGACTAAACGACGGGTTCTATCAGGATGCTGTATTGCGATTTGAGAGAGGTGTGGTTAGCTAAGGCGTGAAGCGGCTCTGCTGTCCGCTTTCCCTGCTGGGGGACTGACACAGAAGAAGGGAAGTGAAAGCCGTGAGGAAGGGATGATGACGTTGTGTGTCTACTTCCGGGGTTGGTTGCGATAATGTTGCAGGTGACCTTGCGATTATGGTCATTCTCATGACCCTGACTTCAACCGTGAGGGCAATGTTAATGAGCTTGCCAAACTACCTCCCCCACATATACCCGATTGTATCATTCAGTCAAAAGCGGAGGGCGCGGATATCCTTCCCAATCGTTGAACCAGTTCGGATAATACACACAAGCTCCCCAACTTCTGCTAGTCCTTGTAAACAGATCACACCACCCAAATTCCTGTGTTGTCCTCGCGCGATCAAACTTTGTTGACTGTACGCAAGCTCACTAGCCTCCCGGATCCTGAATCCAAGTACGAATATAGTAGGTTCTTAGCATCTATTTGGGCCCCCACAGTATATACTGTACTGTCACTCGGACTAGTCGAATCCAGAGAGTTGGAACATCAATATCCTCATGCCGTGAAGGTATAAGGTATAGGGGATCCTAGCACCAATCCTCCTAAACCCATGTTTCAACTTTCTTGGGTTCGCTGTAGAAGCGTGCCAAACCCTAAAATCTGAAGATCCATGTAGATCCCTTACAGGAACCCTAAATATGCGTTGAAATGGATAATCCTACTTGTCGGGTATCACGGGGAACTAAAGCTTAACTGTTCTGGGTTATATAGGGATTATATAGGGACTTTACTACCCCAAAAAGGTTAAAGGTTACCTACTCTACTACTACCCTAAGGGTCCTGACAAATTGGGGAACAAATTGAGGGTTTCTGAGACACCAAAGAGACCCAAGGACTTTCCCTAGGACATTCCAGACCCTCCTGAAGAGATACTTGTACCCTAGGGCAGGGCACGTTTTTCTAAACCCTAACCCCTAAACCCCTATACCCTAAACCCTGGCCCTCAACCCCTAAACCCTAACCCGTAAACCCTAACCCATAACCCTAAACCCGAACCTTTGGCAGATAATGGAGATTCTCGGAGTCCCAGCAGGGGGGCCTTCCGGCACTTTGTAGCCATCCAGCTCCAAGTCACAAGGAGCCTGGGCGCCGGTCTTCAAGACCCTAAGAACAACAGTTTTTAGGGTTTAGGCTTTACATGGTTTAAAGGGCTCCTTTTGGGGTTTAGGGTTTAGGCGGAGTTTAGGCGTAAAGTTTTTTGTTTGTTTGTTTTTAAGGGCTCCTTTTGGGGTCCGCAGAACGAGTACCGAAAGCCTGTTCTAAAGATGTCAGAAGGCACTTTTCCTTTGACATCTGTAAGCGAATACAGGGTTTAGGGTTTTAGAGTTTAGGGTTTAGGATGTAGGGCTTCTACCGTTTAAGGTTTAGAGCTTTTAGATTCAGGTTTCTGTGTTTCGGACTGCTTCTGTACCGGCTCTTTATCTACCTCGGTCGCATCTAGCGTGGAACAATGGTTTCCTTGATTTCTAGGCTCTGCTTCAAGAAGCTACTGTGCTAAGCTGGACAAGTGAGGGGCAGTGTGCGGTTCCAACTTAATATGACTTCTTACAGCCAACAGCGTCACAGAATAAGTCTTGCGCTTTCAAGAACCTAAGCGGCATTGGTTCATGGTGCTCATCAAGGAATACTGAACAAGCGTGAACAAACCATTGTCGCTCCTGCTTTCAAGAATATACCATACTAGCTTCAACCCTGAACCTGAAAGCGAACGGAAATGAAGAATGGACCCAAAGAGCTAAAGCCAGAACCCCAAGCAAAAACACACGAAGAGAATGGCCGAGGGACTGCTCGTTGAGTCATAATCGAAGAGGGGGGAGCGACACGGTGCGTTTCCCGGATCACCGCCCTGGTGAATAGGAGGTTTAGGGTTTGGGTCTTGGGGTTTAGACTATGCAGAGTCAGGCTTGCAGGGACTAATTACTTAACATACACTCCCTCCACATGCTAGAACTACCAAATAGGATTACCGCTTCTCTGGACCCTTTGGCCCTTAGGGCTAATTAATGAGCATCGTGCTCTTGGACCTTGCCTGCCTCCCTCGGACACTAAGGAACCCCAAACGTTCAAGCATAGAAGACCTTGCCTGCCTGAGATAGGGCAGCTTCGACTTCATGTTTGCTGCGATCTCGTCGGTGAGATCTCCCGAACCTGGGGTGGCAACTCGGTGCGTTAAATCATCTCACAACAAATCGGAAACCATAACACCAAGAAGGAACAACAAACAAACAAGCAACAAGGAGGCGTATAGTAAGTCGGAGTTTACACTAAGGCAACCTGAACTAAACCCTAACTCCAAAGGCCTCCTGTGAACCCTGCGGCTGTACACTACAAAAGCCTAGAACACGTTCTTGAGATCAAGGTTTTAGGGCTTCAGGACTTTGGGTTTGGGTTACATATAGGGCATTTACAGCTTCTTCAAAGAAGGCTTAAGGACTCCGGGAACTCCAACTAAGGCCATCACCGAGCACTTCGCGAAGCTCCTTCCTGAGGATCTCCTGCTTGTCCGGGTTCATGGCAAGGTACAGGAGATTCCAGTTGATTACCTCGAGAGGGTAGGGGTTTAGGGATGTAGGGCAGAAGGGGTTTAGGTAGAGGAGATTCCAGTTGATTACCTGGAGAGGGTAGGGGTTTAGGGATGTAGGGCAGAAGGGGTTTAGGTAGAGGAGATTCCAGTTGATTACCTGAAAAGGGGTAGGGGTTTATGGATTTAGGGCTTAAGGGGTTTACGGGTTTAGGGGTTTATAAGGGTTTAGGTACAGGAGATTCCAGGTGATTACCTGAAGAGGGTTTAGAGCCAGGGCTTCGCGGATTAACAGTCTAGTAGGGTTTGGGGTATGGGTTTATCGTTAAGGGCTGATTACCTGTTTAGGGTGTCAGGATTTCAGAGTTTCGGTTTTGGCTTTCTAGGAATTAGGCAACGGTTTGGAGAATTACTTGAATTACCCGGAGAGCCCAATATTGAACTTACCTTGGTAACCTTGCGAAATATGAGTTCGAGCCGACCCTTAAGGACTGTATAGTAGCCAAAAAAACAAACAATTTTGCTTCCAACTTCCAAGAGCCACTAAGAGTACTCCTAAATGCAGGAATATTCACCAAACTGTCGAAAGCTGGCTACGGTTTTAGGAACTGACGATTGAGTTGACTGACTGAAGTTTAAGGTTTAGGGTTCAGGCTTTTAGGCGAAGTGGCATTTAATTTAATCTGAACTCAGAAATCGGTAACTTGCCTTATGACATTAATATGATTCCGCAACAAACCCACCTCAACCCTGAACCCCTCAACCCCACACCCTAAAGCCACAGCCTAAACCGTTCAGCCCACAGGTCTAACCCCCACAGCCGTAATCCCAAACATTGTGACTGGTACCTGAAACCCCAGGCTCATACATTTTGTCACGGTTTACGCCTTCAGGACTTTAAAAAAGTTGTAGGATTCAGGTCTTAATGATCCCTTCTAGCTCCATTTAAGCTACTATTTGCTTAAGAAACCCCCAAAAAATAAAAATAATAATCCCTATATTACCCCCCATAAGGAATATATTTTTTATTTTTTGGGGGTTCTTAAGCAAATAGTAGTAAGCGAACCTCAACCCTCCGTTTCACGACAGCCAGTTGCGGACGTCGTGGTGTCTATGCCGGCAAGCAGGACGCTCGCAGCCACCTTCATGAGTTTCAACATAAAGCCCCAAACCTTAAACGCCTGAAGCCCTGCTTCTGGTGCGGTTTGTTAGAGTTTACGGTTTGGAGTTAATTACGCCGTGAACGCACATGAACATATCAGGCAAAAGATCTGATAGTTTTTCTGGACACTGGAAAATACTCGGGTAGTTTGATTTAAGGTCCGGCAAGATCCCGCCTTACAGTTTGCAAGTAGATTGAACCTTGTTGAACGCCAGCCCCATGGAGGGTCTGACAGTTAGGTGTTAAGAGTTTGAGGCTTATACCCTAAAAACTTAAATCCCAGTGTCCTAGTTTATAAGGGACAAATGCTAGGCGTTTACCCTGAACCTTAAACCCGAAAACCCTAAACCATACTTAGTGCTGGCCTCAAGTTGTCGCATGCCGTCGAACGTCGCTTCACTACTCCGTAGAGTTGTCGTTTTCAGTCAAATGTTCCTGCTGGATTCACCCTTTAGGGTTTTCGTCTTGGGTAACTTGTTCCTGCTGGGTTCAATCCTTGGGCTTTTCGTCTTCGGTCAAGTTTTCCTGCTGGATCCAGTCCTCAGGGTTTTGGTGCGTTCAAACAGTCTCCTTGGGTTTTCGTCTTCGGCTGTTCGCTCCTTAAGGTTTTCGTCTTGGGTAAAAAGTTCTCGCGGATGCACTCCTTAAGGATTTCGCGTTGGGTAACAGATTCTTGCTGGATTCACTTCTTGGGGTTTCTGCTGGATTCACTCGTCGGCGTTTGCGTCTTGTCCAGAGGTTGCTGCTGGATTCGCTCCTTAGGGTTTTCGTCTTCAGTAAAAGATTTCTGTTGGATTCACTCCTTAGGGTTCTCGTTTTGGGAAAAAGGTCTCGCTAAACTCTTTGGGGGTTTCGCCTTGTGAGTTGAGAGTAGTGGGGGTGGGCGGGTAGGGGGGGTAGGTGGGGTAGCGTCGGTAAGCGAGGCAGGTGGGGTAGGTGGGGCAATCAGGTCGAGGAGGTAGGAACAACTTACGTTGAAGAGGCAAAATTACATCTAAGGGAAAAACGTTACCTCTCAGCCAGCTACCCGTCAGTGGCAGCACATGGCGGTACATCCACGCTATATATTCCCGTACGTATACGCTCGATGTCACAAGCAAGCGCAAGAGACACTGTGGCATAGCAGTCATAACACGTCCAAGCCAGCGATTCCCCATGCAAATGTGTTTCTGTCTCTATGTGCGTGCGGGTACCCGACGCCAAACACCAAGAGTCATTTGGATGAGCTGGACATCTCCCTAAGGGTCCATGTACCCATATAGAGATACATCTGCCCCAAAGTACCCACATAGGGACTACATTAAGGCCAATGTATATACTATATGAGTACATGGACCCTTAGGGTCTAATCAACATGGCCACATGCTTGGCTCCGAAATGGACAGTCACCCGATAGAGTCGCCCATCCGTGCCATCACAACACATCCAAACCGGCGCCGTTCCCCATGAAGACGCTCGATTCCACAAGCAACTCTTCGAGACACAACCCTAAGGGTCCATGTACTCATATAGTATATACATTGGCCTTAATGTAGTCCCTATATAGGTACATTGGGGCCCATGTATCTCTATATGGCTACATGGACCCTTAGGGCAAGTGGCATCACTGCACCGCAAAACCAGCAATCCCCCATGTAAACGCTGGACTTCGCAAGCACAAACTCGAAACACAAGTGGCATCACAGCATATCAACACCAGCCATTCCCCATGCAGATGCTCAATTCCACGAGCACCCGTTCGAGACACACATCCGTGGCATCGCAACACATAAAAACCGGCCATTCTCCATGCATACGCCTAGTTCACGAAAGATGGTCATGCACAAACAAGCATGCAAGATGTAATCACAATAGTGGAGTGTATGGCTTGACAATACGTTTCCGCAAAGTGACGCTGCACAAACAAGCATGCAAGGTGTTAGTACAGTAAATAATGGACTGCATGGCTTCACAATACGGTTCAGCAAGCTGACGCTGCAAACACACAAGCATGCAAGCTGTTACTATATGGCTGAACCTTGCGTTTCAGCAAGGTGAGGCTGCACACACGAGCATGCAAGGTGTTATCACAGCAGTATTGGACTATACGGCTGAACCATGCGTTTCCGCAAGGTGACGCGGGATTGATGCGACTTTCGGCGGTGCGTGGCGACTTGGGCCGGCCACCCAGTGGCACCCTAAACCATAAACTCCCAACTAGCACCCTAAACCATTACAAAAAAACACGTAGCACCGGAAACCATAAGATCGCAAGTAGCACCTGAGACCATCAAACCCTAAGGGCCCCCTAAACCCTAAACCCTAAAACCCTAAACCCTAAAACCTACTAAGGGCCTAACAAAGGGCCCCTAAGCCGGAGCTGTGCACCTCTTTGACCTCATCCAGCGGCATACTCTGGCGGTCAAGCACTCGTACAATGTATGGCTTCCTGTCCGCCGACATGTCCTGCTTTGAGGAGTCTCGCGTTCGGTTGAGAGTTTTATGGTTGTTAGGGAACCTTTAAAACCTAAACCCTGACGTCTCGGGGGCATGGGTCCTACAGCAAGAAAGCGAGGAACCCACAGGGTTCAAGTACCTCATACGTCGGCTAGGGTTTAGGGTTCAGGATAGGGCAAGAGCAAATTGATGTGAGCGTTTAGGACGGCCATCCCAGTGTTCAGAAAAGCCGACAATCACAAACCTAAAGCCCTAAGCCGTTCAAATCCCTAAGGGTCCATGTACTCATATAGTACATACATTGGCCTTAATGTAGTCCCTAAGTAGGTACTTTGGGGCCCATGTATCTTACGGGTACATGGACCCTCAGTGCAAACCCTAAACCGAGAAAATCCTCTGCCTCGATCGGTCCTGGGAATTCTCCAGCGCCTCTTCCAACAGCTGGCAGGAATAGTCGTAGCTCTTCTGCCATGATGTCTTGAACCTTACGGGCGGCGAGGGGGGGTTTTAGGGTTTAGAGTTTGAACCTGACCAGATTCGGCATAGGACTGTGGGTTTAGGGTGAGACTGCATGTAAGGTTTGAGGTTCCTGTGCCCAAACCCTAAACCCAAGGTGTTCTACAAGGGATACGGGATTCTATGGAGCCGGAAAGACTTCAGCATCCCGTCATGAAAGACCATTCTTGGGCTATAGTAGGGATAACGTGTGGTGTGAGGCTCTAGACTGTTGCTGAGGCTTTCCTAAACCCTAAACTCCTAAACCCCTAGCACCCTAAACCCGTTTTTACAGGGGTCTTGGGGTCAAATTTTTTGGGCACCGATCGGACACGGCCTGTCTTGACGAAGGGCATTCGGGCTCTTGAGGGTTGCTCGAAAGTTCCTTTGAAGGCTCTGGGACTCTTATAAGGTTTCCGAAAATGACCCTGGTACAGTACCCTAGATAGGGTTCGTTATTTTGATTGCTCCAGGGATCAAATTTGGGGGTGTCAGTGTTGTCACACGTATCAATACCATGTCGCTAATTAACATGATTCAAGGCAGACCGTCTAAGGGGTACTTGGCTCTGTAAGAATCCCAAACCTTGGCACCGAATGCCAGGTTGATACTGTTATACCCTAAACCCTATAGATCCCTTAAAGGAACCCTGAAGGATCCCTTAGTATAGGGGCCTTAAGGAACCCCAAAGTCGTACATTCCCAAACAGTCAACGCTCTACACTCAGACGGCCCGAGCCCTGAAGCCTAAATCCTTCAACCGGTATACCTACCATAGGGGCCTTGATCATCATCATCATCATCACACCGCATTCGTGTTCATGTGAGACGAACACAACGTAGCACAGCACCACTTCTGGATACTGACAATAGGGTTCTCTTTTAAAGGGCTGCTTGAAAGGGATCTATAGTAGGGGTCTGAATACTAATGAGCTACTGATGCTTCGGTTGGTGAGATAAATCCTGCACTACCTGAAGGACCCTAACTATGGGAATTATGGTGTATCCCTTATTATGGGTCATGCAGGATTTATATCATCAACAGTAGGAGCCTTCATAATTGGATTAAGGTTTGGGGGCCCATTATACTATAATTAAATTAAGCAACCACCAACATAGCATAATTAGTGAGGCCCCTGTATTACACCAAAGCCCCCTGATCCAGAGCTGCGCATCGAGGAACGACCGGTTCACATGATGGTTCTTGAAGATTCCCATCTTCAGATGGCCGTTGAAGACTGACTTTCCCAGCAGATCTCGGCTTCTAGCATTTTGGGATCTACGGTCAAGGTTTAGGGTTTAGGGTTTAGGGTTCAGGGTGCTTGGAGGACTGAAGTTCTCAGGCTACTTACGGTTTGGGATCTGGGAGTTTCCGAAAATAGGGCACCCTCATAAATAGTGCCCTAAATAGTAGGATCCTTATTACGTACCAGGACCCCCAAAAAAGGTACCCCTCATTTTCGGAAACGCCCATCTCTGGCTTCGAGGTTTGTGCGGTGCAACACCTTTCGACCCCAAATTCGGTCTCAAAGGCCCAATCAGACCTGGAGAAGCGGAACCCACCCAGCTAATACAGGGTCTAGATAATTACCTAAACTAGTTTGGGAACTCGATCCTTATTATAATTAGAATATAATACGCCGTACCCCAACACCCTACTCTAATTACTACTAATCTTTGGCCCCTATCTTATACGCTGAACCGCGAAGCTTGCCCTGGCTACTAGTGCCTACTTCGAACTTTCCCCACACACCCATACGAGAGCAAAAGCAACACAAGCTTCCGCACGCCCCTTGCAACGGTTGATGATATAGATCCTGCATGACCCATGATACGGAATATACATAATTCCCATAGTTTAGGGCCCTTGAGGTAATGCAGGGTTTCTATCATCAACAGAAGCATTGGTTTCTGCCGCACTTGGTTGTTTTCAGCACTCTTCGGAGCTGTCTGTGTACGCCGCCACGAGTTTGGCTAGCTCTGGTCTCCAAAGAGTGGTGTCAGTGCGGTGTACGGATTTTGTACGGTCTGTGAGGGGTCTATACCCCTAACGATACCCTTATAGTAGCACCTTTACAGATTCCTTAAAGGCACGATTAGGATATATGGACCCTTAGGGTAAGGGTTGCATATACGGACTCTCCTGACATCATGCAAGACCACCTTTCTGACTGTACCTGACCCTTGAAGGGGTTCCCATGGCCATGATTCGTTGCGCATATCTGTGTTGTGTGCACACTCTCTCATATATATACATGTCCATATGCAGATAGAAGTACAGATACATAGATATGACATATACATATGTATTGATATGCATTTGTATACACTGCATATGTATATATACTATATGGTTGGAATGAGCTCGGGGAAAAAACTTGGCCGCTGCAAAGAGGCACTCGCAAATTAGACTCGAGGACGTTTTAAAGGCTTGTCCTGTGGGTCCAAGTAGCTAACAATCATACACTCTGCCGGTCACCAAGCCACAAACTACTATAGTGCACTGGAGTACGGGGCGTGTATAGTCGTTTGGGCAACTCAAGTACCTCATTAGTATCGTCCCTTGGACCCTTAGGGTTAGGGTTTGGCTCTAGTGCAGTTTAGGTCTCATAGGAGCCGGGCTCAAGGTTTCAGGGTTTGATCCATGCCCATTCAGAGTACAAGGTGGGCGATCTAAATGCCATACCCTGCATTAGGATACCTAATTTTCTGGTTGGGGTCTGTTATATACAAAAGTAGGTACCCTAAAAAAGGGGTTGGGTATGAGCCTCCAGGTATTTGAACACAGTATTAGGACCGACCCCCCTGAGCAAGGAACTACCCTGCCCCTGATTCCATAGCCCACCTAGACCCCGCACCCCCCCCCCCCCCCGCCCCCACCCAACACACGGACCGCTACACCCTGAATACACCGCCGGCACATGCTATTCGTAGTCCCTAAACTCTCAACGCTGGCCCTAAACTCAAAACCCTAAACTCTCAACCCAAAGCTCTGAAACAAACCCTCATCCCCAAACTAACCCTAAACCCTAAACCCTAAACCCGAAACCCTAAACCCTAAACCCGAAACCCTAAACCCTAAACCCGAAACCCTAAACCCTAAACCCGAAACCCTAAACCCTAAACCCTCAACCCCAAACTCTGAAGCCTTACCTCTAAACCAAACCTGAGTCTTTCGGCAGGGCAGCTGAAGGTCTGAACGGTGTTCGCCACGAATTCGAGGTCTTCAGGCCTCTCGCTGTAGGGATTAGGAATTATTTGCCTAGTGGCTGAGTACCCTAGCCCAAGAAAGGATAACCTTCCGAATTATAGTCGGACTAAACAAACCCAAAAAGTTAAAGGTTACCTGCCCAGCCCCTAAGATTTGGGTGTTTAAGCATCCCACAAAGGTTAGGGGTCGTCTACCGTATATCTAGGGAATACTTGAAGGCCAAAGTATATACTCCGTCGGCACATGGACCCTTATTAGGGTATGGCTAGGATTTGGGGTCTCGGGTTCGAGGCTGACGGCATATAGGGCTTACAGGGCTGCGGGTTTAACAGTTTAGTCTTCGGTTTGCTTGAACCCCAGCCCTGCAGCCTAACCCCAAACCCTAAACCCTGAACCCCAAACTCCTAAACCCTCAACCCTTCTTTGCGAACCTCGCAGATGGGGATGCCGTCTTCATCTGCTTCCCGTAGAAGAGTGCGCTGAACATGTCAAAGGCCAAGCGCCTTAGGATCTGCTGCAAAGCTTTGTGCTTGGAACCACTCACACAGTCTACCCCTAAGGCTCTTTCGACGTACCGGCCTTCCAGCCGAGCCTAAAACCCTACATCCAGTCAGTTACCCTAAGGGTCCATGTACCCATATAGAGATACATGGCCCCCAAAGTACCTAGATAGGGACTACATTCAGGCCAATGTATATACTATATGTGTACATGGACGTTTAGGGTTAGCCAGCTCAGTGTGACTCAGACTGACTAGGACTGGGCAGCCAGCGGCCAGCTAACTCGGTGACCCTAGAACACGAGAACCATCAGGTGGCTAAGTCGAGCAACGAACAAGTAAGCGCACGATTAAGTAAGCCTCAATGTGGTAGCGATTCAATAAGTTCAACTTTACAACCATTCTGTAGAATTACCCTTAGTATCATTTGTTATCAATAACTCCCTGGATGAAAGTTCTATCGGAGATGATGAAAATAATACGTTGTTTTAGGTTGTTTTGGACCATTATCAGATTTCTGAGGGTCCCTACGAGTTTGGCGACCTCCGGATGCAGTTCATAGTCAAGGCTTAACAATAACTGGATTGGAGAACTTCAGAACGTGTTCATCAAGAGGAAACCATCTTGAAGCAAACCCTGAACACAAACGAACCCCAAGCAGCCCTTTAAAAACCTTGACATTCGAAGAGCTCGAGATCCCAAGCAAAGCATCTGAGCCTGACCATCCACAAGAAGCCTCTGGGCTGTGACCCTAAGCCACCAGCTTTAGAGAGCCTGACCTTAAAATAAACCTATGCAAATAGAAAACCTACCCCCTAAGGGTCCACGTACTCCCTATTGTAGGAATTTGGGTTCTAACCATAAATAGACCCTTAGGGACGTATAACTACAGTCTCCATTGGGGTTCCTTTTTGCGGTTTTAAGCAACTGTATAATTAAGACCCTACACGGTAACCCCAAAAAGGAATTACAATGGAGACTACAGGTATTGTACTTTAGGACTTTCGGGTTAGGAGAAGCATCCGTTCAAAAATGGTAACGATGGTTTCAAACTCCAGAAGTCTAGAACTCTGCATCCGCCCTCAACCCTAAGCACTACATTTTGGGGTTTTTTCTGGGTTCAGGGGTAGGGGTTTAGGGGTTTAGGGTTTTCGGGTTTAGGGTCGCGTTCTGCGCTGGGCATCCTAAACCGAGGGACGTCACGAACTGATTCGGCTCTTTGGCGAAGGACGGCATGTGAGGCGAGGCAAGCCTCGTGGCCTTGTACTGTGTACTACAGCGGCCTTAATAGTTAATTAGAAGGGGGTTCCCTTTAAAGGGTTCCTGTAACGGGATCTATAATATAGGGGCCTGAATGATTAGAATAGGGTTTTGCGCCCATTATGCTGTAATTACAATGAGGAAACCTCCAAAATAGTATTGGTGGTAATTAGTGATCTATTTGGGTGGTTGTCAAGATTATGGTCCCTTTTTGGGGAACCTTAAATATTAGGTGCCGTACTTTCTTATTAGGGACCCAAAAAGGGACCGTAATTTTGACAACCACCCGTTTAAGCCCCTATAGTAGGTGTCCAAGCCCCCCACCCTAAACCCTCAACCTCTCCACTTCGGAGTTTTCCGCTGAAGATTGGAGCTGAGTTTGGGTTTAGGGTTTAGGGATTTGACTTCTATAAGCCATCCTGGCGGTACGGCTTGAATTTGCTTTGGGTAGCGTTTGACGTGTGTTGTGTTGTAGATGTTTGGGTATGGGTGTAGGGTTTTGCAGTGTAGACTGTCATGGATCGCCATTTTATACGGCATGCTGCGGACGGCCGCTTAACATTCCTGGCATGTAAGATGCATTGTCACTGTCGGTAGGGCCATGATGCCCAAAATACTGGTATTTACAGTATATACGACTCTTTGCAGTGCATTACATAGGGCACAAGGATGTGGAGATGGCGCAGAAGATGAAGGGCCCATACCATACCTGTCGGTGTCCTATATGGATAATCAGTTCAGCGTCTGCCAGATAAAACACACATGCAACAGCCAAAATGGCCAGGGAAAGAAAGGCGCGTTGACCATATAGAGAACCCTAGCCAACACATCAGAATTATTCTTTTCTTCACGGTCCTAGATTTCTGAGTTAGAGCATTCCTATAATTAGGGTGTACGTATAATTAGGGTGTAGTACGACTGATCTTCGTCAAAGTCTGAGAGATCTCAGCCTAAGCGGCCTTCGACATTTCCAATTGAAACTCCTGGCGGTACCCATAGGCGGGTTCCTTTCAAGGGTTCCTTAAAGGGATCTATAGCAATTAGGGTTCTATAGTATAGGGGCCCTTAATAGTTAGAATAGGGTTTAAGGTTTATCCATAGGCCTCATAGTAGTTCTAAGTTAATCCCGAAAATGAACTACCATGGAGTCGATGGGCAATAACTCCCCAATCACCCAAAAGTGGGCGAAACAACACAATAAATACAAGGCCCTTATTCCACATACTTTTGGGCCCGGTCCAGGTGGAAAGTTGTCCAGGGGAGTCTTAATTATGGTATCTCTGTGAAAGGCTCTATGACTGTTGAGCGGCAGGCAATCACGATGGTCTATTATGAAATAAAACCCTAAGTAACGTTTACCTATATATATATATATATATATATTAACCCTAAGGGTCCAAGTACTCCCTATTGTTGGATTTTAGGGCCTTTTAAGGTATCAAAAACCATAAATAAGGACTACTTGGACCCTTAGGGTAAGTATTCCCCACCCCTATACACATTTTATTAACCCTTAACCCCCGAGCCTTGTAACTTCTAAAGCTCCTCAACCCTACCTGTTTAGCCCGATCGGCCCACATGCCCGCCATTCTCTGGGAAGAACACGATCTGGGTGAGGGTTTCGAGCTTCAGGGTGAAGGGCTTTAGGCTTACATATGTGTGTTAGGTTTCGGAGTTTGGAATGGTTTAGGGGTATATAGGTTGAGCCTATTGGGCTTAGCGGTTCGACAGAAAGCCCTAGACCAAGACCTAAACCCTAAACCCCTAAACCCTAAACACTAAAACCCTAAACCCTGGGCAGAAACCTCAAGACCTGGCCTCATTGATGTAGGGAAGGTAGGTGCGTGCCGTCTTCGGGCCGGTAATGTCCTCTTGCACCTCATCGCCAGCAAATTCTACAAGCAAGAGAAAACCAACAAGGACCTGTGTGCCCAAACTCACTTGAAGTACATCCTCTGAGGGTTTAAAGTTTAAAGTTTAGGTTTCAGGGCTGAAGGACTCTGAAAGGCATCGAGAGCCAAGCAGACTGTTAAACTCCAATTGTCCATCCGAACTTTTGTGCTTCTCAGTTCACAAGCTTCACACTTCCCAAAGGCCATGATCATGAGGTAGCTGGGGCTAGGGGTCTTTATGGTTATTGCCGGGTTCGGTTTTGTTGTACCTTTAGAGGGTTCTATACGAGACCCAGAATAGCGTTTCATGCACTGTTAAGGTTTTCAATCGGGTGTTGGGGTACAGTATAGGTATATTCTAAGAAGGACCCCAAGGGAACAACGGCAATTATTCAGGCCGCTAAATACAAAGACAAAACGACTAACAGTAAAGGGTTTGAGGTTTCGGAGATATGGGTGTATGCGGTGTCGCTGGGGACACCCCGCGACCTATTTTTAAACTGCCGCGATGTCTGGATCCTCCATTTCGGGTCTAACAAGACCAGCATCGTATCTTCTATGGGCACTATGGCCTTTTGGGGGCACACACGCCTGACCGAAGAGTCCCTACAGCATCAATTAGACTTGATCAACCCCTGGCTTCGGGTTTAGGTCTGCGGGTTGAGGGTGTTGTGCTTGCGGGTTGCCTTTAGCCATAACTATCCTCCATGACGCCTACGGTAGCCGATTACCAAATTAAAGCCCCCACTCCGAGCTCAACGGAGGCACCACCATGCGGACTTTCCTCCAGGGTTCGCCCCGGCCCGAAAACCCGAGGTAGGTGTTCTTGTTCTGCTCCTCCTGTCTGTGCACCGGAGTGGTTAAACTACACCGCATGATGCATGGGACTTTGGTGTAACGGTTTCGAGTAGTGCTTCTGTTTCCACAGTCTGGGGCCCGTTGAGAAAACAGACATTCATGTGCGTTCTTTCGACTAACGCGAAAAAGGTGAACGTCTTCAACAGCAGCGCTTTGGGTTCAGACTTCTCGATGCGCTTCTTGGAGACCCAGGGTTGTAGGGACTTAATGGGGTGTACGGGTTTATAGGGACCTATACGCCATGGTCCCTAAACCCAAGCGCAATGTCGCTATCCCGGTGCTTCAAGTCTTGCATTCCCTCCGTGCACCTTGCACCTATGAACCCTTCAACGCAGTCCCAAACCCTACGCCCTGGCACCCGGAGCCCCTCAACCCTATACTGCTTGTTGTGTTTTGTTTTTGGGTTTAGGGTCTATAGGGTAAAGGCTCTACGAACGACCACAAAAGCTTTCTGAGCATTGCAGCCAATGGTCGGCCCACCTTTTGATAATCCAGAGATTGTCGGCACCCCCTACCGGGTACGTCCCCTCATTTCCTCAGCTGCAGCTTCCAAGGAACTCCCAGCCATAGTCTATGAGTATGGCTAGTATATTGTTTCATAATGTTGTGAATACTGCTATGTGTTGTAAATTTAGTAAAAAAATCTGATATGCCGTTTAATGTGGTGACGCATTGTATCCGTATCGTATACCATGTATAGCCCAATTTCTTAGTATATGAAAGGCAAATAACACATCATAGACCATTATGTTGTATTTCTTGGGTGGTCTGGAATGCTCTAACTATTATGGGTGCTGCACGGACCGTAGGGAGATATTGGACAGCATAAGAGTTTTCAAGCTCCATTCGGCTTCTTTGCAAGTGCATGGGATCGCGTGTTTCGCTCGGGGGATTTCCGGACAACAACACTGCGGCTATTAACCGCATGCCCTGCACAAACCCATCGGAAGCAAGGCTCAGTGTTTCTTGTTTAAGGCATATAATGAGCAAGCAGGCTATTCCACGCTGGAACCGAGACTCCAAATCACACCCCGAATGCCAGTAACCTTCCACTTCAATTCATTTCCATGGCTCCTTATAGACCTTCATTAAACTGAAACTCTAAATCCTAAACCTTAAACCCTTAGTCCGAAATCTTAAACCGTAACCCTGAACCTCAAACCCCCATGCCATGCGTCGGTACATCTGCATGTACCTCGGATGGGGGCGTCGGTGACGCAAGCGCGTGTTGGTTTCGGTGTCCAGGTGGCTGACCCTAAGGGTCCGAAGGACCCAATAATTAGGTACTTAGGCTTCGGATAGTAGTTACGTAGGTTACCATTTTGGAGAGTATATGATAATTAGGTACTTGGACCCTTAGGGTGAGGTCTAGCCCTAACGGTCCATGTACCCAAGTCAGGATCCGTTAAGGGTTCCTGTAAGGGTACCGCAAGGGTTTAGGGCTTTAGGGTTTAAGTTTAAGGGTCCATGTACCCAGATAGTATATACTTTGGCCTTCAAGTATATATGGTCCCTATCTAGGTACTTTGGGGCCAACGAATATACCTTTTTTGAGTACATGGAATCTCAGGGAAGATGTGGGGCACAGGTTGTGGCTCCCGGGCTTTGGGGTCGTTAATGCTGGGATTCACTTTAGTTTAGCCTAAGAGCACGTTGCAACTGTCTGGCCTTCTAGTTTGTATGTTTAGGATGTATGGGGTTTTACAGTGTGGAGCTTAAGGCTTTGCGGTTGAAATATACTCTCCCAAAGGCTCCATGTACCTCTATGGTAGATACTTAAGCCTTAAAGGGGTCCCTACACAGGTACTTTAAGGCCTGAGTATATACTATGTCGGCACATGGGAGTTTCCGAAAATTGCGGTACCTTATTTGGGGGTCTTTTTCATATGCATAAGGATCTTACTATTTACGGTACTAGATTAGGGTCCCCCATTTTCGGAAACTCCCGCATGGAGCCTTAGCGTCTGAGGGGGGATGCGACTAAGAACAGGTCCTCCACTTACCCAGGCTCTGGGGTTTGGTGCACCCCCGCAACCCACCTTCCGTTGAAGGATGATTCATATACTTTAGAAAGGGCCCCCACCCTGTAATAGTGACTAAAAGGATTATATTGGGGCCCTATTATATTCCTATTATACCACTATTACCGGGTGGGGGCCCCTTCTAAAGTATACTGGAGGGGACTTAATAATTAGAAGAGGGTTCACCTGGACCCTAAAGAACCTTCCTTTTTAGGGTTCACTACTATGATTTCCGTATATACAACCTTAAAAAGGTAGGCTATTTGGTGTCAAGGTAGGGGTATACTATACTGTATTTACAATAAGGAATCTCCAAAACCCTATTCTAATTATTATTAATTTTTTCAGGCCCCTACGTTAAGGAAACCAAGTCTAACATATTCCAAAAAGCTGGGGCATTTGGGGTTCGGGCTTTTGGGTTTGGAGCACAAGGCTTGGGGCTTAACTAGGGATTGGGGCTCGGCGTCTGTGCAGGATTTCTGTTTGGGATCTGGGTGTGGGGTTTGGCCCTTGATTTGAGGGTTAGGGCGCAGGGATTAGATGTTGACTTTAAAACCGTTGAGAAGAGTTCATGGTCTAGGAGTCTAGCATCCCGCCACAAATCCAACGACTTCACTGAAAAGTAGTAGACCACTGACATCATGAACCCGCAGCACGCATGCGCACAAAGAATCAAATGCACAATCTGAGCGGTACAGACCCTAGGCCCCTCCCCACCCGACACACACACACACACACCCTAAACCCTAAACCCTAAACCCTAAACCCTAAACCCTAAACCCTAAACCCTAAACCAACACCAACACACACACACACACACACACAAACACAAATTCGCGCCAAGTGTCAGATCAGGTCTGCACACCATCACCGAATTCTCGCCGACCAAGTTCAGCCTGTAGATCTCTCCAAACCTTTGGATGTCGAGTTCAGGCTTAAGGCCTCGTTGCGGCGCTGAGGGTTGTGACACTATACCCTAAGGCCCTAAAGTAGTTCCTTTTTGGGGGTTCATATATAAGAATCCTATTAGGTAATCCCCAAAAGGAACTACTTTGGGGCCTATGGGTAGAGGTTCTTCTTTATTCATGTCAGGGGTCCTTCCTTTGCGGACGCCAACGTTTCATGTCCTGAAAGGCCCAGGAAATGCCCTAGTCTGCTTGGTTTCTGGCTTCGGTATTGACGGATGCCTACCAGCCCACAAAACAACAGGCATCCCTTTTCTGAACCCCCAACGCTAACCCCAGAATATAAACCGCCAGCCCCAATTCAACACTCAGCACGAAGCTCCAAGTTTCCAAAAAATAATGTAGGCACCTGATTAAGAAACCCTGGGCCTTTGACCCCCAAAATAGAGGATTCACACAAAGAAACCCAAATAATGGCCCAAGGTTTCTCGACCGGGATCCTATATTAGCTCGAAACCCCTGAAACCCTAGGGATCAAAATCGCCCAAAAGCCTCATGCAGCATGGTCTCTGGGCCCAAGGGCCTCCACCTATGAGTCCTTAGATCCCCGAAAGCCCGAGACCCCGGACACTTCCCTCAAAGCCACAAACCCTACATTCCAAACCCTACTTGGAGGTCCATATAAGTCTAAGTAGGGTTATATGTCGTCGCCTAATACGGGTTATAACTATAGTTATCCTATATGCTTGTAACCCCACTTATAACCATAAGTCGGGCTATACGTCGCGTCATAATATGGGTTAACACTATAGTTATCTTACTTATAGCCCCACTTTTACTACACCTGATCCTCCAAGGAGTGTCTTAAGGTTTCGGTGCTTAGGCTTAAGGGTCCGGAGGTTAAGTGATGAGGCGATGCCGACCATGTTGGGTTACCATGAACAGAACTCAACTTAACTCAACCACATGGGTGGTTGTCAAAATTATGAACCCTTTTTGGGTACCCTGAATATCAGGTGCCGTAAACCCTAAACCCCTAAACCCCTAACCTCTAAACCCTAAACCCCAAACCCTAAATATCAGGTGCCGTACTATATTAGGGACAGAACGAGGGACCCTAATTTTGATAACCACCCACATGGGTTATCGCCTCATTAAACCCTGCAACTTCTACAACAACACAAGCACTCACATACGTACTACTGTTGATGGGCCAAAATCCTGCATGACCCTAAGGACTCTAAACTATGGGAACTATGGCATATTCCTTATAATGGGTCATGCAGGATTTTGTCCATCAGCAGTAATTCAGAACTGAATCAGCGCACCCATGTACCCTAAACCCTGAACCCCTAGAGTCTAAGACCATGAACTGCTGCAGTCTTAGACGAACCACCAGGACCGGGCTACTTAAAGGATCATGGGACTTCGTAACTGTTAAGGGTTCCTTAAAGAGCTCCTTAAAGGGATCTATAATGGATCTATGGGGGTTTAGGGTTTAAAGGATCATGGGACTTAGTAACTAGGGTTATTCTTAGGGTAACTATACTTATAACCCCCATTAGGGTACTCATATGATCCTCCAAGTATGCAAAGGCGAGAAGCTCCTTGTAGTACTCGTCGTGGGCCTTCTGCAACATCGGGCCTTCCAAAGAGAAGATTCCTTCAAAGGTCCTTTAAGGGCCTCCTTTGAGGCCTCTCTCAAGGGTGCTGCAAGAGCATAGTTTGGTGTGGGTTTCGGGTTTATGGTTTTAGGACAGTAAGTATGTTATGGTTGTACGGGCTCAAGTTTTCAGTGTATGTTGGGCTTCAGCGGGTTCGGGTTTCAGGGCAGAGGGCTTTAGGGCCTTTGATTTTGAGAACGGAACTATTGAAGAAAAGCTACGTGATCTACTTACTTGCACAGGGCCGCCAGTGAAATGGGGCATATAGCATGGACTTTACCCTATCCTGCCAAGGACCTCATAGTTGGGGCCCTAGACCGCTTGTGGACCCAAAAATAAGGTCCCTGAAGGCATTGACTTTAAACCCTAAACCCTAAATTTAGCTTGGGATCAAGCTCAGGGAAATAGACTTGAACATCCCTGACTGATAAAGCCTCTGACCGGGAACACCTTGCTATTTCAAGATGCTATCGGGGCCTTAACAATCTGACCAGGATTCCTTTTGAGGGGTCCTTTAAAGGGATCTATAGTAGAGTTATATAATGTAGGGGCCTTGATAACCAGAATAGGGCTGCAGGGCCCGGTATACCATAGATATACATAGGAAAACCTCAACAGAGTATCGGCAATTCCTAAGGCCCCTATATATTATGTGACCCCAGACTCTTCAATGAGAGGATGTTTTGAGCGGGGTTGTCACGCTGAGAAGCACTCTTGGAAAACAGCGGTTGCGAGGCGGTTCTGTGCTGCGTGCTGTTGATCACAACGCCGCAGATAGGTGCATGGACTGTACGCGCTTGAACCTGCTTTGCAAACATAGCATCAGACAACAGAGGAGGACGAGATGCGCGTGGTTGTCAAAATTACGGTCCCTTTGGGTACCCTACATATTAGGTGCCGTATTATAAAAGGGACCCAAAAAGGGACCACAAGTTTGACAACCACCCACCCACAGGACGGGAGACCAGGGAATGGGCCAATGGAGGGAGTAGGACAATGAAACCTCTTAGTTCAATGGGTACCCAGAGCCTCCAAAACCCCTTAATTAAGGAATATACCTTAAATTTTCATAGGATATCCCTAATATGATGTTAAAGTATATTCCTTAATTAAGGGGTTCTTGAGGCTCTGGGTAGTTGAATCCACGATCGCCTGAATGAGGATCTAATACGTCGGGGGGGATATCCACAAGTCAGCTGTCTGCACGCCTCCCCCCTAAACACATAAACCCAAACACACATAAGGGCCAAACCCTAAAACAAGTTAAAACCTCAACCTAAAAAGATCCCCTCAAACAACCCTCAACCGCCACCCCCAAGGCCCAAACCCCACTCCAAGCTTGAAAACCACCAAACCCCAACCCTAAAACGAACATTAAAATTGGGGCCTCAATGATTAGAATAGGGTTCTGGGGTCCATTATACTCTAGTTAGAATACCCTAGACCCTAAACACCTAAACCCTAAACCCCTTAAGCCCCAAACCCCTAAACCCTGAAACAACCAAGCGCGAACAGGCCTCTGGGTGCGCTCATGCCGTCCACTCCTGACTTTTTGGTTTAGGGCTTGACCCCGGCCTTCCAATATCCCTCATTGAAAATTCAACTAAGGAATATGACGCTTGAAGTTATAGTAGGATCCCAAATATACTAATATCGGTTTACCGTCGATTTCTGAAATGACGGATTTTTTGTCTTCGCCACTAGCCCCCCAAAATAGAGCCAAAGAGTACTACTACTCGGGAACCCAGAAGCCCTAAACCCTAAACCCTAAAAACCTCACTGGCCCAAAACCCAAGGGAATAAAAGTTGAAACTTTCAGAATCGACTAGCTTATAAGAACCCCAAAAGTTGAAAAGTTGAGTTTACAGCCAATAAGAAACTGAGCCCCAAACCCTAAACACCAAGCCTCTGAAACCCTAGAGGCCCCTAGGCCCTACACCTGCAAGCCCCAAGCCCTAAGCTGCGAACCTACTATTTGCTTAAGAACCCACAAAAAATAAAAAAATATATTCCTTATGGGGGGTAATATAGGGATTATTATTTTTATTCTTTGGGGGCTTCTTAAGCAAATAGTAGGAACCTCTAAACCCTAAACCCCAAGCCCTAAACACCTAAACCCCAAACTACTACAACCCCCCCAAAACTGAGCCCTAAACCGCTAAACTCTATAAGCCCTAAACTGAGCCTGGACCCTGAAGAACCGTCCTTCTTAGGGTTCCCTAATATGATTTCCCTATAAATAAGTCCTCAAAAAGGTAGGTTCTTCAGGGTTCCGGAGCCCTAAGCATCTACATCCTAAACCCTAAACCCCTAAACCCTAAACGCCTAAACAGCTAAACCCGGAAACCCCTAAACCCCAAAGCCCTGAACCTCTGCATGTGCCGAGGCTCTCGATACGAAATCCGGCAGGGCCCCGACAATGGGCCAAGCTTTGGGTCCTCGCAAGCTTGGGGAAGTTGAGGGTCTAGGGGCTTTGGGGTTTAGGGGTTTAGCGGCTTAGGGCTTAGGGTTTTTGGGTTTAGGGGTTTAAGGTTCAGGGTTAGGGGTTTAGGGCTCCTGCTTTTTCCTTTTTTGTGGTGCCTGTTCAGTGTCTGCCTTGGAAGTGGGTTCAAGATTTAATGCCTTGGGATTGGGATAACACTAGGGTTCCCAACGCTGGGGCCCTGAAAGAATGGAGTGGGTTGGTCTGAAATCTGAGGTTTAGGGCTCCTTTCCCTCTAAGGGTCCAAGGGTTTAGGGTTTAGGGTTTAGGGTTTAGGGTTTAGGGTTTTGGATACCTAAAAAGGCCTTAAAGTCCTATTATGAGGAGTACTTGGACCCTCTGGGTTTATGTTTACCTAACTGTTCCTTTAAGGCGTCCATGGCTTAGGAAAGCGTCTACATGTTGGGCCAGCTCCTATACGAGCAAATGTAGGAACATTCCTGTACGGGCTCGTTCAAGCGGTCCGCAGGAGCTTTCTGGCTTTAGAGTTCTGGTCTTCTTTGAGGCTAGTCTTAAAGGGCTTCTGGAAAAGATTGCTCGATGATTTGCCTAGGGACTTCTTCTGTTCCATGATCCTCGGAGAATGCAGAGACTCCAATACCTCTGAGTTGAGAAATATATACCCTGAATTATAGTAGGATGATTTAAGGTATATTCCTAAACTACTGTTGATAATATAAATCCTGCATTACCTTAAGGACCCGAAACTATGGGAATTATGGTATATTCCTTATTATGGGTAATGCAGGATTTATATCATCAACCGTATTAAGGGAGATTGGAGTTCCGAAAATACGGAATAGACCTTAAGTTATAGCAGGATCCCTAAAATAAATTTTAGGTATACTCCTAAATTACGTGAGATTGGAGTCTCTGGGAATCTCCAGCGCGGTTTGGAGTTCGGGCTTCTTCTGAAACGAGCTGCATGACTACACGGAGTTCAACAGCTTGAGTTTGAAATGGTACAAAACCCTAAGGGTCCATGTACCCGTCTAGAGATACATGGGCCTCAAGGTACCTATATAGGGACTACAGTAAGGCCAACGTATATACTATATGAGTACGTGGACCCTTAGGTATTTACAATCTTCTACATGGGTTCCAAGAGTTCGAGGCGAGCTACTGAGAGGATCCTACCAATCAATCCTTTAGGGCTCATGTCGTGATACCCCTATAGCACACCGAAACAGAACGGTACAGCAAAATGTCGAGGTGAATTACACCACTCACCCGCTGAGGCTCTTAAGCCCTCAAACCCTAAACCCCTGAGCCACCAAAAAGCCCAAACGCGAAACCCGCAAGACATCTCGGTCCTGGAATGTCCTGCAAACCCAGCGCCGTGGAAAAAGGCCGGCTAAGACGGCGCCGGACTCCGGGAAATGCTCGCATCATGGCTTCGAGGGCTAAACGATCCGTCTAAAACCTCTGGAGCCGGTATAGAAGGCTGCGATGAGAAGGTCCCTTACCTATAGCCGAAAAGACCTACCCTTTTGGGGTTCCTGATTACGGTTCCTATATATAGTTCCTTAAAGAGGTAGGTCTGTTCGGCCTCTGGTGAGCCCTGAACCCTAAACCATCCTAAACCGTAGACCCGAAATCCTAACCCCAAACCCTAATCCGACTGATTCTTGCCGGGGTAGAGTTTAGGATCAGGTTCAGGGTTCGGTGCCTCTTTGTAGTCTTTGGGTTGCCACGCATCCTGCGGCATGAAACCGCCAGCTCATCATCTAGGGAACACCAAATGCAAGGGGCATAAAGACAGCAGCACAGCGTACAGGTAAGTGGGTACCTGACCGGGACTCTAGCTCCGAGTGAAGCAAAAACACACCCTTCGCAGATCCCTTCAATGGCTGATGGATGCTCAGGCTTTGTTGGTCCGGGGTTTAGGGTTTGAGGAGAGGAAGCCACAAGCATAACCGAGCACAAGCAAAGCAGAAACTAGCCGATGGGAGGCCAAAAAGGGGGGTTTAAGATTCTTGGGCCATTCTTGGGGTAGGGATTCCTTAATATGAGCCCGATTTACTAAACCCCCCATAGGCTAAAACCCCTTTTGGCCTCCTATGATACCCTTATAGATCCCTTGAAAGGAACCCCTATAGATCCCTTTAAAGGAACCCTAGGGATTCCCTAGCCCCCCTAGGCTAAGACCCCCTTGTGGCCTCCTATGCCTAGCACCCTAGAGCCCCCAGTGGCCTTCGACTGAAAGGCTGCAGCAACCATGCCGTAAGGGTTCATGCACTCATATACCGGCCTGGTTTAGGGTTTACGTTAAGCGAACCAAAGGCTGTGTCTGTCTAAACTGCCGATGGAATACCCAAAGCTATGGGCCGTACGGTACACCGTATACTACTTACTCTGGAGAATGCATGAGGGTTTCGGGAGGATCCAAAAAGTAGATCCCTTAATGGGGGTTCCTATAAAGTACCCTTAGTAGTATAGGGCCCCAAATTAGGGGATCTACTTTCTAGATCTTTCAGGGATCTATAAGGGTTCGATGAGGGTTTAGGGTAGAAGGGTCCATGTACTCATATAGTATATACATTGGCCTTAATGTAGTCCCTACATAGGTACTTTGGGGCCCATGTATCTCTATATGGATACATGGACCCTTAGGGCCATGGACTACCCCAAGGCCCTGGACTTAGTTGTCCAGTATCCTAGGGGACCTTGGGTTCGACCTTTGGGATTAGGTGGGATGATAATACCGCTTTAGGGTTTTGGGGCCTCAGGGTTTAGGGTTTAGGGTTTAGGGTCCCACTCTGCTACGAAGTTAATGTGCGGTGACAAGCGGCCGTGAAGGCTCTTGCAGAGGCTGCAACCTCCATCGGTCTCATGTGGTAGTGCAACACATCTCCTCGGGTGAGGGCAGCCCTAAACACACCCTAACGGTCCATGTACCCATATACAGATACATGGGCCCCAAAGTACCTATATAGAGACTACATTAAGGCCAATGTATATACTATATGAGTACATGGACCCCGAAGGACACCGAAATCCTAATGGCCTAAGCCCAAAACCGCGCAGCCCTGAACTCTATGTCCTGAGGCCTGGTTTAGGGTTTACGTTAAGCGAACCAAAGGCTGTGTCTGTCTAAACTGCCGATGGAATACCCAAAGCTATGGGCCGTACGGTACACCGTATACTACTTACTCTGGAGAATGCATGAGGGTTTCGTCCAAAAGCAGGGGTATAGTTTCGGAGTTTAGGACCTCATTCAGAAATTTCAGTGGCTTGCTTCGGGGTTCATGGGTAGTTATAAGTCGGGCTATAAGTCCCCTAATATGGGTCATACTCATAATTACTTATCTTGCTTAGCCCCAGTTATAACTACCCATGAACCTCCAAGTGAGGTCTATGAAAGTTTTTGGATTTCGAAGGTCGGAGCCGACTCCCTGAAACATCCGAAAGCACCGCGCGCTGAAAGCTTGAAACCCTACAGCAGCACTAGACCTTTGTACGCGGAGCACAATTAAAAGCTCATGTCTCAGAGCTTCAAGAGCAAACTCTAGGTCTCGAAAATCGGTATTTAGGGCGTGAATCATTGGTTTTCTTCTGTATATACATGTTTGCTTGGAGCTTTAAGGGTTGTTCGTTGTTGATTGTTTGGTGCGTTTGGCTACAGCCCTAAAGCTTTGGTCGGTTAGACTTCCGAAACCCAATATCGCACACAAATCACCCCTTCCCGCGGTTCAGGGTTTATGTATCACCGTATAACCCATCAAACACGAGCCCCAAAACAAACTATCAGATTTTCAGCTCCTAAGCAGCCATGCTCAGCAACGACACCAAAACCATTCAGGGAATCTAAATCTATGGAGATTTCGACTATCCTCAGGGGCTGAAAACCCTGGTCCCAAAAAGGTTCACCTTTTCAATCAATTATGGTAGGGCTATCTAAAGTTAAAAGCTTAAAGATTACCTACTCCGTCACTACATCAAGCTTTCGGAATGACTTGTCGCCTACATCAGCCGGATACACGGCCCGAGCAGCCCCCAAAAGAGGCTTGAAGAGTGCCTTCACAGTATGGGGGGGGGGGGGGGGGGAACGTGCCGTCCATACTTCCCTTGCAACGTCCGTCGCAACCTGAAACAAGCAACAGAATCAGGGCTCATACAGGTCTCGGTACATGAAGTTTGGGTTTGGTTTCGGGCTCAGGTGCTCCGAGCTTCGAGAGTTTAGAGATTCCCAGAGCCTCCACAAACCCCTTAATTAAGGAATATACCTTAAATTATCATAGGATCCCTAATATGATTTTAAGGTATATTCCTTAATTAAGGGGTTTTGGAGGCTCTGGGTTTAGGTTGCATGACAGTCCCGCTCTCTAGGTGCTGCGAGTGGCCGTCTTTGATGCCTGCCTGGCTCACCGTCTGGTACAGGTTTAACCTGTCCGACGAAGGAAATAGACCAGGGTTTAGGTTTTAGGGTTAGGGTTTTGAAGGGTTTAGGGGTTTAGGGTTAGGATTATGCACTTGTTTTTTTTGGGGAGGGGGGGTGTAAACTCTCAGCTCCAACCTTACAAGCCTAAACCCTCCTGTCACCCACTCGATAAACGAGGGGCTGCAGAAGTCTGGGCAACGAGACAAAAAAGGGGGATTGATGTAAGATGTACTAGTGGGGTACAAGGAAGACGAATTAGATAATATTGTGTCCCGCCATGGGCATGAGTATACCGCTACAGTACCAAGCAAGAGCTATGGTCTAGGGTTTAAAGTTTAGGGATTAGGGCTTAAGAGCAAGGTGCAAGATATGCCTAAGCTAGTGGACACGGATGCTTTGCACGTCCATAGCTGCTGTAGCAGCTACTAGGCTGCATGTAGAAAGCCGTACACACAAACAGTCCGACAGACAGAACACGGAGTTTCCAACAACCAGCACACATAACTACACGTGCATACATGAATTCACACATACAGGGTTACATACCTACATGCATTGCGCAGTTGAGTACGGTACATTAAACTACATTACATTACATTTCAGATACTTCACATTACATGGCGTGACATGATACGACATGTGGCACTACATTCACAAATGCATATGCACATGCATACGCATGTCGACAATGCAAACCTGTGGTTGCTGAATACTCGCGTGTCCATGTCCATGTCCGTATCTATGCACACCTATATATACTTATGCGTGTGAATGTGTATATATATTCTTTATGCATACCCACTCGTATGAAAGTTCTGTGATGTTATCTCGGTTCTTACTGCGATGTACATTATTTATGTGCTTATTCTTGTTAACACAATTGCTGCCAGTTTTGAGAGTACTGTCAGTGTCCGTGTGTCGTGTTGTTTTTGTTGCTGTTCTTACGCAAATTACTTTGCTTGGTATACTATGGCTGCTCTCATTATTCTTATACAGCCCTGTATCGGCGTATGTACTATGTACAAACACAAACAGATACTTTAACTGTAATATATATATATATATATATATATATGTACATATATATATATATACATATGTATATACACACACGTAATCGGTGTGTTTGCATGCATACAACCAAGCTGTACAGCCCTATCGAACCCCAACCCTCAAACCTTGGATGGCTCAAAGCACTTATAGATTTCAGGGTTTCGAATCGTAGGTTTCGGGTTGACAATTTACCTCAGCCTTGGGCCACTGCAGAAGCTCAGTTACCATAAAGGGATCACTACACTGTGGCACACACCCGGGCAGTGGTCCTACACCCTACCTTTAAATTACTTACCTTGGGCTAGTAGGGAATGGAACAACGGTAGTAATAGAATCCTTTAAAGGGATCCTTTAAGGGATCTATAAGGTTTAGGGTTTAGGGGGTTAGGGTTTACCTTTGGTTAGCAGGGAATGGAAGAAATGTTGTAATAGTAGCTATAATTGTACCCCATTCCTCCATTCCCCACTAACCAAAGGTAGGATTAAACCCTGAAAGAAATTAGGGCAAGCAGCAATTCCGAGACCCTTACCCCCAATTCCGTAAGCACCCGAGACCCTCAACCCAGGATTTTTGGGTCAGATAATGCATTTTGCCCGGCCCAGTCTAGCCTAAATTCTACGAAGACCTGTATAAACAAACCCCATGGGAACCCTTCAAGACCCTGTGGAACAGCCTCGTACCGGCAGCAGTGATCAGCGAACCCAGCCCAACACCTAAGTATGCAGACTTCGTGGCATTACTTGGTGGCCTAGAAGAGCTTCCGCAAGGGTTGTATAAGGGCGCCTGCGAAAAAAGATTAGTTTTGCAGGGTTAAGGGCTCTAAAAATGATTGATGGTCCTTTTCAGGGGTTGGTATGTCAGGGTTCCATGGTTTGGTGTGAACTTTTGAGCTTCAAGTTTTCAAGTATCCCTAAGAGTCCATGTACTCATATAGTATATACATTGGCCTTAATGTAG